TATGTATGTATGTATGTATGTATGTATGTATGTATGTATGTATGTATGTATGTATGTGTAATGTATGTATGTATGTATGTATGTATGTATGTATGTATGTATGTATGTATGTATGTATGTATGTATGTATGTATGTATGTATGTATGTATGTATGTATGTATGTATGTATGTATGTATGTATGTATGTATGTATGTATGTATGTATGTATGTATGTAATGTATGTATGTATGTATGTATGTATGTATGTATGTATGTATGTAATGTATGTATGTATGTATGTATGTATGTATGTATGTATGTATGTATGTATGTATGTATGTATGTATGTATGTATGTATGTATGTATGTATGTATGTATGTATGTATGTATGTATGTATGTAATGTATATGTATGTATGTATGTATGTAATGTAATGTAATGTAATGTAATGTAATGTAATGTAATGTAATGTAATGTAATGTAATGTAATGTAATGTAATGTAATGTAATGTAATGTAATGTAATGTAATGTAATGTAATGTAATGTAATGTATGTATGTATGTATGTATGTATGTATGTATGTATGTATGTATGTATGTATGTATGTATGTATGTATGTATGTATGTATGTATGTATGTATGTATGTATGTATGTATGTATGTATGTATGTATGTATGTATGTATGTATGTATGTATGTATGTATGTATGTATGTATGTAATGTATGTATGTATGTATGTATGTATGTATGTATGTATGTATGTATGTATGTATGTATGTATGTATGTATGTATGTATGTAATGTATGTATGTATGTATGTATGTATGTATGTATGTATGTATGTATGTATGTATGTATGTATGTATGTATGTATGTATGTATGTATGTATGTATGTATGTATGTATGTATGTATGTATGTATGTATGTATGTATGTATGTATGTATGTATGTATGTATGTATGTATGTAATGTATGTATGTATGTATGTATATGTATGTATGTATGTATGTATGTATGTATGTATGTATGTATGTATGTATGTATGTATGTATGTATGTATGTATGTATGTATGTATGTATGTATGTATGTATGTATGTATGTATGTATGTATGTATGTATGTATGTATGTATGTATGTATGTATGTATGTATGTATGTATGTATGTATGTATGTATGTATGTATGTATGTATGTATGTATGTATGTATGTATGTATGTATGTATGTATGTAATGTATGTATGTATGTATGTATGTATGTATGTATGTATGTATGTATGTATGTATGTATGTATGTATGTATGTATGTATGTATGTATGTATGTATGTATGTATGTAATGTATGTATGTATGTATGTATGTATGTATGTATGTATGTATGTATGTATGTATGTATGTATGTATGTATGTATGTATGTATGTATGTATGTATGTATGTATGTATGTATGTATGTATGTATGTATGTATGTAATGTATGTAATGTATGTATGTATGTAATGTATGTAATGTATGTAATGTATGTATGTATGTAATGTAATGTAATGTAATGTAATGTAATGTAATGTAATGTAATGTAGTGTAATGTAATGTAGTGTATGTATGTATGTATGTAATGTATGTATGTATGTATGTATGTATGTATGTATGTATGTATGTATGTATGTATGCATGTATGTTTGTATGTATGTATGTATGTATTTATATATATGCATATGTACAGTATGGCTCCCAAAGCAGACGCCCCCCTCAAAGAGCAGCATGTGCGCCCTTTTCTGAAACTGCCCAAATTTGAGCACTTGTTATGTCCATGCATTGCGCAAAAACCTGTTAAAGTGATTTAAAACATTTCTGGTTCTAAGATTCAATATTCTCAGTACTCTTATTTGAACATTGAATCGCAAGGTCCAAATATACTTGTTGGAAGCGCTTTAAAGCGCTTTCTAGTACCAGGCTTGGATTCAATTGAACATCCATCGTGTTACCAGGCACCTTGAAAAATGAGTTTTTGCTGAATGCGTTGCGGATTCCCGATTCCCGTGTATAGCAGATTCCCGTGTTCGCGACGTGTTGTTCTGGAGTTTGAAACCGTTCGCAGCGGGGCGATAAGACCCTGTTGGGGGAGTCTCAGAAGGTGTAATCTCACGGCTTGTCAAATGTTGCTTTTCGACATGTCAAAGCTGGCATTGGTGGCAGGCGCAACCCTTTGGGCGCTGTTTGCTTAGTCGCATATTCGTCTTTCGTGACAGGGACGGCGCTTGGGAGAGTGCAATGGCGATTTCGTGGCGAGCGCAGCACTTTGGGGGGGGGGGGGGTGCGCGTGGAATATGCAGCACTTTGACACACGGCGTGCAGATCTTGTGGTAGGCGGAGGGCCTGCGTGCTTAATTTCGTGGCAGGCACAGCACTCTTTAGGCGTGCAGATAGCGCGGCAGGCACGGCCCCTTCAGGCATGGCGCACAGATATCGTGACAGGCGCAGTACTTTGGAGGGTTGCGCGCTGAATTTTGTTGCGTGCCGCGACTTTGAGAAGGTTGTTTGCAGATTTTGTGGCAGGGGACGTGCTTGGCGTTGACTTTGGGTGTTTCTGTGGTTTGTGCAGTTGTTTTGGGTGATGTCTTTGCGGGTGACAGTTGGGATGCCGGAAGGGCCTTGACCGGGATGTCTTCACTGGAGGGAACGTCTTTGCAGTTGTTTTGGGTCATGTATTTGGGGAATGTCGTCTTGGGGAGAGGTCTTACAGAGATGCCTTTTTGGGATGTCGGAATGTCTTTGCGTTTATCTTGGGTAGTATGTTTGATGTTTCGGGAAAGGTGCCTTGAAGGTGTCTTTAAGCGATGTTCTTGGGTGCTTTGGGACTTTGCGGCACCTTTGAGTTTGCTTCTGGTGACGGTATCTTTGGAGGCTGCCTTGGCTCTGACATGACGTTGGGGACCATTGTCTGCTTTTGGGAGGATATCCTTGTGGTATGCCACTGTAGTACGATGGATTGGTTTTGGAGTATGCTGGCAATTAGTCTTCAGCTTTTGTTGGGCCTTTTTAGGGATGTATTTGTGTCTCACCCATACTGCCCAGAAATGTTGCCCCAAGCGTTGCGAAAGACATTACGAGGGTATCTTTTGGCAAGTGGTCTGCATTTGGGTCCGTGGCTTCAATCAGTTGTTTTTTGGCACGGGATCTGAGTGTGGATGCTGACAACTAAGGACTTGGCTGTGGCAGGAATGCGGTCGTCCCAGAAACGCCAAGCACGTGCGCCAGAATGTGCACAATGGCCGCATCTTTGTCGCGCGCCCAGGTGCTGAGGGGTCAAAATGTTGAGGACTTTGCTAGTCTTCGCCTCTGGGCTTTTACAGAGGAGCAGCCTTGTCCGTCTTTAGTTAGTCCCGCAGTGCTGGACAAAACTTGAAAGGGACCGGAAACAAAGGGGGGGAAGCTGGAGGGGAGAGACCCGGCTTCCAGTGCGCATCCCCATGAGTCTCTCGCGGCCCGCGAAGCCGTGTAGAGTGTGCAGGCCCCAGTCGCCCGTGGCCCATCAGATCCTTGGCAGACTCCAATACAAAGATTGAGAAACTTGCGCATCGTGTCAAACCCTGCCTGACAAGTCACACAAGGCACATCGGACACTGAAGATACTGAAGCCAAGAATGCGAAAAACGGTCCGCGCGACCCCTGTTTTGTCCGCAGGGCTCCCACAGCCCACGCGAGACCCGCCGTGGGCCACGAGAGCTTTGTAGAGTCGACAGGGTACGCCACTTCCTTTTCAAGAGTGGCCGCGGCCCCCATCAATTTTTTTTACGGCCTTGCGACCCGAAGCTTCTGTTAAAGCTGGAGCTGGAGCTGGAGCTGCCAAAGTTAAAGCTGGAGCTGCCAACCTGTGTTTCATTCACTGCATTTTGACTAAAAAGTAGCAGTTTTTGAGCTGGAGCAGCCAAAGTGTACTTTGCGTACTTGCTACACTTGTGCTGAAAGCGGTCGCAAAGTCGAGCTTCAAAATCCGGGAAACACGAGGCAAATTAAGAAGGACAACACATGACAGCCCAAAAACAGGAGCTCTAAAAATAACGATTCTTGAATACAGCCTGACATGGCCACGAATCCCAACTGGTAAGCATACCTGCTTGAACATCTTGCACCTCGTTTCAGACACCAGCCCGAAACTCAGTCCTCACTTGTTTCGCTTGGCTCAGTATGCGGTTCTGTTGTTTCTTGGGCAGCGCAGTTGACCTATTCTGAAGGGCGGAAAGGCTTCAAGCTCGGCCAGCTTGTTTTCACCACCAAGAGCCAGCACATAGTTCCGAGTGCTTCGTTTCCCTGCAGGCAGAGATGAGCCTTCGTCTGTGCCACTGTTCGACGACCTGTGACCGTGTCCTCGCTGGAGGTGGAGAAGCTTCAGAGCCAAGGCTGCTCTGGAGCGCTCTGGAGCACATGCTTTTCAAGGTCTCTACGGCCCGCGGAGTCTGCAAGAGCTTCGCACTCCCGAGTCTCACAGGAACAGCCTGCGGCCCAAGACCGCTTTACGTACCTGGAGTCGGAGAGCCTACGTTTGCAGAAAAATCGAGGCAGCTAGCGACAAGAATGCGTGTCTTGCTAACAAATGCGTTGCAACCAGCAAGTCTAGCAAGCGACATCGAAATACAGATCCGACTTTGCCAACTACTCGTGGACGTAAGCATATATATAAATATATATATATGTGTATATATATATATATATATATGTATGTGTATATATGTATATGTAAGATATATATATATATATATGTACGACACATATATAAATATGTGCGTTTGTGTTCGTTGCAGCACCGCGGAACAAGTTCGGGCAGGGCTTTGGGTTGCGACGTCCGGGCCTACGAAAGCTCAAAGAAGACACCCCCTGGTGTCATCTTGGCTTCTGATTGCCCGCTGATTTCTAGAACGGACTGGTCCTTTTGGGCCACAATTGACTGGTTGCCCTTTGTTGCTCGGCCAAGTCTCGGCCATGTCCATTGCAACTTGCGCAGAGCTGTCATGGCCTTAGGCCCAGAGCAACTTGGCAGTGTGCTTTGCAGAGGGCCGGGCTTTGATGCAGTCCTTGCCAGCGGCGCTCTACTGGTGGGGCGAGGCACGAGGAAATGAGAGGAGCATATCAATAGTACTTGAAGCAACTAGCATTGCGTTTTTGGTAGCATAGATGGAAAGGCAAACCGCGTCGTGTGTCGATGTTTCCGTACTTGAAGAAAACAGCAAGAAGCATTCATTGGTGAATAAAGACTTGTTTGAATCTACCTGCGCGCACAAACCTGGCTGGCAAAGAATTGGAAGGTATTTGGCCAGTGTCCCTTCGCCACAAACACTGTTTGTTCACCCTAGGGACGAAGAGAAGCCCAAGTCTTGGCAGTTCAAAGTATTCTAAGCCCAGTTCAAGGGCGGCGACGCTCAAAGGGCGGCGACGCTCAAAGTATCCTAAGACGCAAACCTGACTTGTCCGAATCTGTGAGTGCGTGCTTGTTTTTTGAGTATCCCTGCTTAAAGCTCGGCTTAAAGGGAAATCACAAGGACAACCGTCATTCAGGGGGTATCCCTATTCACACACACACACACACACACATGTCATGTCCGGAGTTGTGCTTGTCTTGGCTCGCGATAGAATCTGAAACTTCAAGCATTGAAGTTCAATTGAAGGCTTTCGGCTGCCAGGCAACTAAGTCACACCAACTCCGAAAAAGGGCCACCCGCCTTTTCAGCAAACCAAAACCTGGAAAAGGAACTCCCATGGTCAAAGCTAGCATTACCTAGGTCCCCCAGTAGTGCCCTTTAACCCTTTTTTGGGGGAGGGCTCCCCTACTAAAATAGACTACAGGAAAATGGGTCCCTTAATCTAACCTCTCTACTGGAGGACCTAGTTACCAAAGCCTCGAGGACTCCTTGGCCTGAAATGTCGGGCAGGCGTCCGCGCAGGGCCTCCCAGACGCGCAGCAGAACCTGGAGCGCCCGGAGGCTCAAACAGTTACTGAAGAATTCGAATGGGTCCTGCTTGGGTGTGGTTGGTTGTGGTTGTTTGTGGTTGTTTGTGGTTGGGTGTGGTCGGGTGTGGTTGTCTGTGGTTGGGTGTGGTTGGTTGTGGTTGGTTGTGGTTGGGTGTGGTTGGGTGTGGTTGGTTGTGGTTGGTTGTGGTTGGGTGTGGTTGGGTGTGGTTGGGTGTGGTTGGGTGTGGTTGGTTGTGGTTGGTTTTTGTTGGTTTTTGTTGGGTGTGGTTGTTTGTGGTTGGTTGTGGTTGGTTGTGGTTGGTTGTGGTTGGGTGTGGTTGGTTGTGGTTGGTTGTGGTTGGGTGTGCTCGGGTGTGGTTGGGTGTGGTTGGTTGTGGTTGGTTGTGGTTGGGTGTGGTTGGGTGTGGTTGGTTGTGGTTGGTTGTGGTTGGTTGTGGTTGGGTGTAGTTGGTTGTGGTTGGGTGTGGTTGGGTGTGGTTGGTTGTGGTTGGGTGTGGTTGGGTGTGGTTGGGTGTGGTTGTTTGTGGTTGGTTTGTGGTTGGGTGTGGTTTGGTGTGGCTGGGTGTGGTCGGGTGTGGTTGTTTGTGGTTGGGTGTGGTTGGTTGTGGTTGGGTGTGGTTGTTTGTGGTTGGGTGTGGTTTGGTGTGGTTGGTTGTGGTTGGGTGTGGTTGGTTGTGGTTGGTTTTTGTTGGGTGTGGTTGGGTGTGGATGGGTGTGGTTGTTTGTGGTTCGTTTGTGGTTGGGTGTGGTTTGGTGTGGTTGTTTGTGGTTCGTTTGTGGTTGGGTGTGGTTTGGCGTGGTTGGTTGTGGTTGTTTGTGGTTGTTTGTGGTTGGGTGTGGTCGGGTGTGGTTGTCTGTGGTTGGGTGTGGTTGGTTGTGGTTGGTTGTGGTTGGGTGTGGTTGGGTGTGGTTGGTTGTGGTTGGTTGTGGTTGGGTGTGGTTGGGTGTGGTTGGGTGTGGTTGGGTGTGGTTGGTTGTGGTTGGTTTTTGTTGGGTGTGGTTGTTTGTGGTTGGTTGTGGTTGGTTGTGGTTGGTTGTGGTTGTTTGTGGTTGGGTGTGGTTGGGTGTGGTTGGGTGTGGTTGGGTGTGGTGGGGTGTGGTTGTCTGTGGTTGGGTGGTTGGTTGTGGTTGGTTGTGGTTGGGTGTGGTTGGGTGTGGTTGGGTGTGGTTGGTTTTTGTTGGTTGTGGTTGTTTGTGGTTGGGTGTGGTTGGGTGTGGTTGGGTGTGGTTGGTTGTGGTTGGTTGTGGTTGTTTGTGGTTGGTTGTGGTTGGTTTGTGGTTGGGTGTGGTTTGGTGTGGCTTGGGTGTGGTCGGGTGTGGTTGTTTGTGGTTGGGTGTGGTTGGTCGTGGTTGGGTGTGGTTGTTTGTGGTTGGGTGTGGTTTGGTGTGGTTGGTTGTGGTTGGTTGTGGTTGGGTGTGGTTGGTTGTGGTTGGTTTTTGTTGGGTGTGGTTGGGTGTGGTTGGGTGTGGTTGTTTGTGGTTGGTTTGTGGTTGGGTGTGGTTTGGTGTGGTTGGGTGTGGTCAGGTGTGGTTGTCTGTGGTTGGGTGTGGTTGGTTGTGGTTGGGTGTGGTTGTTTGTGGTTGGGTGTGGTTTGGTGTGGTTGGGTGTGGTTGGGTGTGGTTGGTTCTGGTTGGGGGTGGTTGGGGGTGGTTGGGTGTGGTTGGGTGTGGCTGTTTGTGGTTGGGTGTGGTTGGGTGTGGTTGGGTGTGGTGGGGTGTGTTGGGTGTGGTTGTTTGTGGTTGGGTGTGGTTGGGTGTGGTTGGGTGTGGTTGGGTGTGGTTGGGTGTGGTTGGTTGTGGTTGTTTGTGGTTGGTTGTGGTTGGGTGTGGTTGGGTGTGGTTGGGTGTGGTTGGGTGTGGTTGTTTGTGGTTGGGTGTGGTTGGGTGTGGTTGGGTGTGGTTGGGTGTGGTTGGTAATCGTTCTGGTTGGGTGGCTGGTTCTGGTTCTGGTTTGGTGGTTGTTTATGGTTCTGGTTTGGTGGTTGGTTATGACGGTATGATTGATTGTGGTTGGTAATGGTTTTGGTTGGGTATCAGATGTGGTTGGGTGTGGTTGGTTGTGGTTGGTAATCGTTCTGGTTTTGTGGTTGGCAATGGTTGTGGTTTGGTGGTTGGTATGACGGTATGATTGATTGTGGTTGGTAATGGTTTTGGTTGGGTATCAGATGTGGCTGGTTGTGGTTGGTTGTGGTTGGTTGTGGTTGGGTATCGATTGTGGACATTGGTTGTGGTTGGGTATTGGTTGTGGTTGGTTGTGGTTGGGTGGTTGATAATGGTTCCGGTTGGGTGATGGTGTGGTTGGTTGTGGTTGTGGTTGGGAATCGATTGTGTTTGGTTGTGGTTGGTTGTGGTCGGGTGGGTGGTTGTAGTTGGCTATTGGCTGGGCGGTTGGTAGTGGTTTGCAATGTTTGTGTTTGCTTGTGGTTGGAATGGTTGTGGTTGGGTGGTCGGTACTGGTTGTGGTTGGGTATTGTTGTGGCATTAGCTGTGGTTGGTTGTGGTTGGTCGCGGTTGGGTGGTTAGTGGTGGTTGGTAGTGGTCGTGGTTGGGTATTGGTTGTTGTTGGCTGTGGTTGGTTGTGGCGGGCTGTTGGTCATGGTCGGGTATGGTTGGTTGTGGTTGGGCGTGGTTGGTTGTGGTTGGGTGTGGGGTGCCACAAGCAGCTTGAGGGCCAAAAAAAGGGGCGACACACCAAACACAGGTTTGCTTAGGTGCCTGCTAAGTGTAGCTCATGAAATCATGGCGAGCCTAAAGCCCGGATATGTTTGCACCAGTGGCAAGCGAACAGCTGACAAGTGTTTCACCTAGCTTGAGGGACCCCTTTGAAGATTCCTTGTTTCAGCTTTGAAGAATTAATTTGTGCCGACATCGTATCTTCTGTCTAAGAATGCAACAGCGCCCTGCACAAGAGCCGTTATTCAAGTGCACAGCCGTATTCAAGGTCAGGGGATCCTTCTTCAGGGTTGTCCAATGTCGACGTCGCAAGTTGCCCGTGGCAGGTCACTGGAGTTCGAAGGGATGTTGCGGCAAAGAAAAAAACGCAAACGAGTCCTCAAGGACCTCCATCTTTGATGTTCACCCGGATTTTAGGGTTCCGCGGTTGCTCACTGGGGTTTTGGAATCCATGCGTTGCGTGGCAGAGGCTTTGCGAATCAATCGGACATAGCTGCTGTCGCGATTTGCGGCCAAGTCGCACCAAGTCTCAGGCCTCAAAGCAGCGCATCCTGAGTGGCCCACTTGGCCAATGCCTTACTCCAGCCCAACGACTCCAAAGGCATGGCAAAAAGGCCCGCTGGAAGGCAGAGCAACCTATGAACCTCTGCTGTTGCTGGGACAGTTGTCCGGTTTGTTTCATTTCGACTGATAGATTGCGAAAGTTGTTCGCAGTTGTGGATCAAACAGCATGTGTGCTTGGCATTGCTGACCTCCAAACAGCACGGAAAAAGGGGGCCCAATGGGGGAGTAGAGATCGGCTTTGCTGGACCGCGCAAGGAATTTGGCTCAAGATCCAAATGCTTCCCTGGTGCAAGGTTCAGACTCTTCGACCTCAGACCTTTGGAAGCTTACGACTTCGGTGAAGTGTTGCACGCTTGGAAGTCCATGTAAGCAGAATCTGTCGCGACCAGCGCCAAGAACGGAACCGTGGATCAACTCAACCTTTAAAGCTTGACCAGCAAGCAAGCCCAACCTCATCTTGACGACCCGGAACGACTCATATTTCAAAAGAGCCAAATCGTTTTATTCGTTTTCACGAGCCCCACATTCATTTTGACGCATTTTAATCTTTAAGCCAACCCTCCAAGCACTGAGACCCTCCCAATCTCGAGGGGGTGCCGCCCCACCCGGCCATGGGTGCGCCATGCGCTGGAAGCTCATCTGGGGCTTGCTTGCCGCGGCCTTCGCCTTTGGCGCGGCGCCTTGCCTGAGAACCCCATCCACCGAGAAAAAATGCTTGGGAGTTTTTGTTTGAGCACAATCTGGGCATGGTTTACATCAGGAGCATTTTTGGGTGAGTTTGTCGATCATGCGGAAGACAGTGGCACGTGAGTCGCCATTGGGTGAGCTGTTTAGGGATCTCTGGACATAGCTGTCAGGCCAAACCAAACAATGATTGAGCATTATTGAGGATGCTTCTTGGTCTCTTGCTGCAGACGAGAACCAATTCAGAGGTTTTATTTCAGCTACTTCGAAAGCCGGAATTTGATTTCAGTCTTCGGTTCAAGATTTGATGTTGTGATGAACACTGCCTGTACCAGGACGTTTGACGGCTCGTAGACACAAAGAAGTGGGATTGCCTTGATAAAAGCATTTGATTTGGAGTTCAGATCAGATGCGAGACAATGAGCGCGGTGCATATAATATTCTTCCGTATCGCAGCCGCACCAGTTTCATAACTTGCCGTATCACCATACATTTGTTCGAATGGTAGTGGAAATTGGGACCTCACCTGACGCAAACGACCTCAAAAGATCTTTCTTGAGATCCGTGTGCCCAGATGGTCTCAGCATCTAGATTGAGGAGAATCCTTGCGCGCCATCTAATCGGAGTCGAGTCCCGTGGAATCGTTCCCTAGGAAAACCTGAAGTGCGAGGGATGGTGACCATTGACAGGTTGCCCCAGATGCCCGGACGCAGCTCCGGGCCTCGCTTTGCCGCCAGGAGATTTTGCGCCGGAATGTCACGCACTACTTCTAATTTGACTGGGAAAGGGAAACATAGCTGGGCAAAATTGGTAGCGAGACCAACGCCCCCCAGAGCCAGGCGCACACACAATGCTAGCTCAAACAACCGCGGATCACACGTGTGAAAACAGATAGCTGGCCAACCCGGGAACAGTTCCCCTCGGTGCAACCAGAGTTTGACGACCTTGGTTTGAGGCATTGCTTGTTCAGAGCTTTCCACAAGGAAACTATCAGCTTTAGCAAATTGCAACCCGAATCCGAATCTATCTCCAGTTGTGATGTATCATGTCGGTCCTCTTGCAGTATCCTTCCTAGGTGAGAGAACACAACATATTTTCCGAGGAAGGTACCCCTTTGACTCTGACATCTGAAATAAAAAAACAACTAGCAACATTGCCCTGGCACATTCCCCTAATGCCGGCAGGCTTTGAGTGCAAAGCCTCACCCCGTCTCCTTCATGGTTCTTACCTACTCATGCCAGACACATATTCTAGAAGGGGCACGCGAGCCGATGCGTGCAACCAGCTCATGATGTGCACTTTCAGCCCTCGCAATATTCAAGCTTTGCGTCACCATGTGCCAACATGAGCCGAAGTTTCCCTGGATCTGTGCGCAGCGCTTCTCATGTCTCCAGGAGGATGGGCGGCCGAACTTTTTCTTGCTGTTCCCGCAGAGCCGTCATCTCTTCGGGCAGACCCACTTCGCCACACTGGAGTCGGTCTTGCTGCCCGGCGCATGTGGGAGAACGTGTCAAAATTGAGTAGGACCCCCAAAACGGCTGGTCTGCCTTGTTGGGTTCCCTTCAAACCAACTAAAGAAAGGGTACCCTCCCATACGTCCCGCAGTACTAAGAGGACGAGACGACCAAAATTGGTCGCGATACCCTCCTTCGCACCCTCATTTTTCTCACGACCTCTTAGGATTCTTTGAGAGAGGGAGAGCGCGACCATCGGAGCTTTCCATTGCCTGAGGGTGCGGCCAGAACTGGAGTTCCTGTTCAACAGGCAGTGATTTGGCTGGTTCGTCTTTTTTTTTGGAGTTACCGCCCGTTTTGTTGTGGGCTTTAAAGGGAAAAGGAAAGCCACCATTTTGGGGGGTCCCCTAACAAAGGCACCCCCATGTCAGGACATCCATGAGACGTGGGGACATGAGATTCGTGCAGCCTCAAAAAATTGAGGCCCTTTCTAAGCCGCCAGATTCACAGGGTGGCATCTAGGTGTTCCCGAAATGGGCTTTTGGTAAAGGTCGGACCCCCAGAATGGTGGTTTTCCATTTGGTGTCCCAAAACGGGGTACCCTCGAAAAAGACGCGCCAGCCACCCAAATGGAAGGCGCCAAGCACAGATCAGAAACAGATGGGCTTGTATAATAACCCGCCCAATTGCAGCTTAGTCAGGGTTGGACTCTTTGTGGTGACGTCTCCCAAAGCACTGTAGAACGATAAGGAGAAGAAAAAAGACGATAACGTTTTGTAGAACTAGCCTTGACAATCTGCAGCTGGAGCTGCGGAAGTGTACTTCGCGTACTACACTTGTACTACAAAGTTGCGATTTTCCAGCTGGAGCTGCGGAAGGGTACTTCGTTTACTATTGTACTGAAAAGTTGCGATTTGGAGCTGTGGCTGCGGAAGTGTACTTCGTTTGCTACACTTGTGCTGAAAAGTTGTGATTTTCCAGCTGGAGCTGCGGAAGTGTACTTCGCGTACTAGACGTGCACTACAAAGTTGCGATTTTCCAGCTGGAGCTGCGGAACTGTACTTCGCGTACTACACTTGTGCTACAAAGTTGCGATTTTCCAGCTGGAGCTGCAGAAGTGTACTTCGCATACTACACGTGTACCACAAAGTTGCGATTTTCCAGCTGGAGCTGCGGAAGTGTACTTCGCGCACTACACGTGTACTACAAAGTTGCGATTATCCAGCTGGGTCAGCGGAAATGTACTTCACGTACTACACTTGTACTACAAAGTTGCGATTTTCCAGCTGGAGCTGCAGAAACCACCTCAGGTACAACACTTGTACTGAAAGTTGCGATTTTGCAGCTGAAGCTGCGGAAGTGTACTTCGCGTACTGCGCTTGTACTACAAAGTTGCGATTTTCAGGCTGGAGCTTCGCGTATTGCACTTGTACTACAAAGTTGCGATTTTCGAGCTGGAGTGCGGAAGTGTACTTCGCGTACTACACTTGTACTAGTTGCGATTTTCCAGCTGGAGCTGCGGAAATGTACTTCACGTATTTCGCTTGTACTGAAAAGTTGCGATTTGGAGCTGGAGCTGCGGAAGTGTATTTCTCTTACTACACTTGTGCTACAAAGTTGCGCTTTTCCATCAGAAGCTGCGGAAATGTTCTTCACGTACTACGCTTGTACTGCAAAGTTGCGATTTCGAGCTGGAGTTGCGGAAGTGTATTTCGCTTACTACGCTTGTACTACAAAGTTGCGATTTTCGAGCTGGAGCTGTGGAAGCATACTTCACATACTAGACGTGTACTACAAAGTTGCGATTTTCCAGCTGGAGCTGCGGAAGTGTACTTCGCGTACTACACTTGTACTGACAAGTTTGGATTCTCCAGTTTGATTTGCCAAGTTGCAGAAAACATTGTAACACGATTAGGAGGAAAAAACGATAACGGCAAAAAAGTAGTAGGGAAAGACGGGGGGTATGTATTCATGCCCAGATGCTTCCCAGGTTCCATCACCCAGCCGCGAATGTGCTGGTCCTGGGCTTCGACCTGCCCGAGGATCTCTTTGATGCCTACCTCTTGGAAGGCAGGCCGAGGTTTAGGTACCAGAATCCAGGAGTCCCCAGTTGGCACATGGTTCGCTCGCAAAGTTCTGTGCCACCATTCGCAATGCCAACTCTCTGAATCAAGTGCCATACATCCACCGCACACTGTGTACTGTTTAGTGTTTGAACCACTGGCCAATGTCAGTTGGCAGTAGAGCAACATGTTGGTTTCTTTTGGAAGCATACGTTGACAAAGTCAGGATAGGCCCGACAAATGCGCTCCGTGCACATGTTGGTATGTTGGTTCGGCATAGCACTGGGATTGTGCATGACCGCAACCCCATCAAGGATCTACGAATGCTTTGCGCAAGCACTTCTTTGAGGTGCAACAATGTTGCCCGATATTGTTTTGAGCCCAGCAAATTCTTTCTAGCTTGTTCAAACCTTTTAATCCCCAATGTTTAGCGGATTCCATATTGTGTGGTTTACGGATTAGATCATGCGGCTTGCGGATTGCGGATTATGGGTTGCACGGATTTCCAGCGCGGATTTTGGATTAAGAAGATTACAAGCCAAAACAAGGATTAAGTGGATTGCGGATTGCGATTGGGCCCCCAGGATTTCGATTAGGCTAGGATTTGTATCACATATGATACATGTCATGCGCATTGTATATATGACATGATATTATACATATATGCAAGGAGACATGTCAACCCAGGAGGATGCCCCCACAACACTTGTGTACCGGCGTGTAGCTACAATCACACCATAATAACGCCACATGTTTGTCCATTCTTCCTTTTGGCACTCACTGCCTCCTATTGCCGCTATTGCCCATTGGTTGACATCTCTCCTTGTTTGGTTGCCGTGTTCAATACGTGTTCCTCTTTTGGTGGTGGGCCGACCTGTTTGTGGCAAATCTACAAATCGATGTGTTGCTTATATCCTCCCAGGTAGCCTTGCCTTCTGCAATTGTCGGCCTGTCATTTATGGACTGAACATGAACTCAACCTAAGAGGCCCACGCCGTATGGCCGCTACGGGTCGCGCATAGGTCAATTAGGCAAAACCTCTGCCACTGTCTCAAAATGAGGCCCAAAATTGGTTGGCTTCCTGTTGGGCTGCCTTTCAACCAACCTAAAAAACGGGTTGAAAGTGGACACCAACAAATTTGGGCCTCAGGGCACCAACCAGGGCTGCCTTTCAACCACTTTCAACCAACCCAAAAAGTGGGGTGTCCACACCCAGATGTTCCGCAGGCTATTGCGTGACCTTCCAGCCCATCAGCTCTCCGGGCCTCTCCGGGGACCTGGTGGCCGCTGTTGGCGACGCGGCTGCGCCCTTCCTGGCGCCCCGGAAAGGCGAGAAATTCGCCGGTGGGTCAAAACCGTTTTGGGATCCCAGTTTGGTTAGTAGGTGAATTCACCACCCATTTTAGAACCTCTGAAAAGTGGGGATTGGGATGTTCACTGGGGGTGCGATTTGCATTTTGACCCATGGCCAAATTGGCCGGGGATGCATGTGGTACCCTCCAACATGGAAAGTCCCTCCGATCAACATGGAAGGTGACAGGAGGTGTTGGGAAGACTACGTTGTTTTTGGGAAGGCCCCCTGTCCACTTCCATGATTGGTTGCAAGAGGGTAGACGTAGCTGATAGATGTTGATAGTTTATGTTTTGCAGTGAAGTACCCTGTTGGGGTTGTCGCAAAGGGACGCCATGTAGTTGATAGTTCTGTGGAGGTGTTTCATGAAATTCAAATGTCCAATGCTGAAATGACTCGAAAACAGTGAACATGTATTCATGATTCACCGACCTCTTCAGGAACCCTCAAAGCTCGGTGGAGTCGCTTTCACCACAGATGGGGAAAGTCCTTTGCCGGAGAATGCGGGAGGTTTCAAGGCGCCAAAGCTTCCGAGTAGAGCTTTCGGAGCTGAACACCTGTTTGTTCCGGTTGGTAGACGGGCGTCCATCACTTTTACATTCGAGCCGGGAATGCAAAGCTGAACCAGTTACCATATATGTTTGTATAGGGGCGGCATGCATACTCCCTTTGTCCCAGGTCTCCATGAATTTGAGGTATACGTGGCTGACAACCAAGGTGCTTCGTGAGTGTGAGTTGTGTGGTGGCACAATTCGGCATGGTTTAGCCACGTTTAGCCCCTGCACGACTCAACAGAGTGCAGCCATGCTGCACATGTGTGAAAGAATAATAAGGTGAAACTTGGAAATAATTTTTCGAGTGGCGAAGCAATGTTTATGGCAAGAGCAGGGTCTGTCGAGCAATATGCCAGATGTTGCCACAAGATCACCATTGTCACTTTGCTACAGTCGGACGAAGTTTGCAGATGTTTGGTAGAGTTGGGTCGTTCCACCTTTTTTTTTGGACCTGAAATCCAGCGTTGTTCCGTCCATGCATTCGCACAACAAGTGTTTCCAATCTAAGCCGCTGGGAAGAGCTGTGGAACGTTTGGGCTTTAGAGCATGAATTGAACATTCAAAAACCAGTGTCGGAAAAGCTTACATCTCAACATCTCAGATCCCAACACAATTAACACCGTTCAAAGTGGTTTGGCAGATGCATGGACGCAAGATTTACTCGTCGAATTTAGGAAGCCTAGAAACAGTAAGGACATATCTCAGGGGTACAGCAAATGCCAGCAAATCTCGTTGGGTGGGGGTACTCTGCACATGAACACCTCTTGCATCAATATGTGTATATGAATGGATGCATGGGAAGAAAGTATGGATGGACAGACGAGTAGATGTGAGGTGTTTATGAGAAGCAAGTGAGCTGTTTGGCCTATCAAGCGCCACGAAGCCGTGGGGAGGGCGAAGGCACTCTCCGATCTCGATGGCTGCATTTGGGGTCTCTCTAAATCGGGAAGCCGACAAAATGGTCGGAGTTTCTCTTTGATGTCGCTTCCGCACAAAGATGCTTCAACCCCAAGAACGGCGCAGATTTTGGGTGTGCCAAGGCAAGATATGGCCAGCCACAGACGGAGGCTGACCTGGCGCGCCTGCTGAACGCGATCCTCCTCTCCCAACAGGCCGATCGGCATAGGAGTCGCAGTTCTGTGGCACTCTCTGGGAGAAACAGGGGTCCCCGGGTCCACTAACATAGAGCCTGGGGTGGAAGACCAGTCTAAATGAAACCCTTCGGTGAGTAATGACCTCTATTTCTTCAAAAGCACTTGCAAACCCTGATCGGATGTGGTAAATAATACTTGTAGCAATGGCAACATATGGCAACCTGACAAGTTGGGGGTCAGACAACGTCATCCATGATGTTTGCTGTTGGTTTGATCCCGGATATTTCTGAAGACTAGACCTCGTGGTCTGAGGTTGTGCCCATGACAATGCGTAAGGCGTGAGGAGAAGAAACAGCTCACATGGGTGCGCCTTTTTTAAGAATGCCCCCATTTTGGATGGGAAACCACCAGGAAAAGCACCCTTTTTTTGGGGGGTTCCCTAAAGTAGACACAACCAGCGCTCCTTGCTGGCCTTCTCTTGGCGCAGGTCCTGCATGGTGGCACCAGCCTTCCGATGGACTCGGAGCTGCAAATGGGAGCTCTCGAATCCGCCCACAAACCGACTCGCCGGAGAGGCGGCAGAGGTGTTTTTGCAGGTTGCCAGCAAAGAAAAATCGACGAGAGGTCCAGCAACTTCAAAGATTGTCAGGGTTGCTCCCCGGAGACTTGGGATGCAAAACCATTTGAGAATGTTCCTTTGGGTCAATTGTCCTTCGGGCGTCCAAGTGACAGCCCGAAAAAAGGTCCGCCATGCTCTGAGGATGGGCTGCTTCTGAACCCTTGGGACTTGGCACTGCCTCCGCAGCTGCTGCTGCAGAGTTCCGCCGTGCCTTGGCTTTCTCTCTCCGCGGGTCTGGGTTTCATTCGGGCCTTGGGTTCGAAGACATGAATGCGGTGAGACACCGTTGGGAAGCCATGGCTCATGTCAAGCGCATGCCAAAGAGAGGTATAAGAAAAGAGAAACGTACTTGGGCTCGCGAGGAATACGCACCACACAACTCACTTGTCCTTGGCGTGGCGGTTTGAGGGGAGGCTCGAGCAAGTGGTCATCAATGAAACAAACGCCGGACGCTGCAGGACATGAGAATGCGACTTGGTATGGAGGTGGTATGACCTCATGCAGCTACCAAGCTGGGCAGCCGGCAACATCCAAACGAATTTGCCAGTCCGTCAGAGGTGTGGATTGGGTTGAACTCATGGACCTCCAAATGCTGCGAAAAGTTAGTAAGAGGCACAGCAAGTCAGCAAGTCAAATGTGACTGGGAGACAGTCATTTCCCAACTCATGCCAAGTGTGATTGTGATACTTCTCCAACGAGGGATTGCTTTTGTTTCGTGAATTTCACCTTTCTAGGTCCCTGTAGAAGTCTATGACTTGTGCCATCTATTGGTCCATGTTCCGTCAAGTTCTGAAAAGGTTAATCTTGGTTCGGCAATTGAGTTAGGATAGATGCATCTTTTATTTCAACGGTGTTTCAGCATGATACCATACACATGAAATCTGTGCGCCCATGCGTACAATATGCTTTCGACTTGGCACTCAGCGAAAGAAGGTCTTCGAGCGGGTTTCAGCAAAAGCAAAAACAAAGAAACACAGACACACAGACACACAGACACGCACAAACAAACAAACAAACAAACAAACAAACAAACAAACAAACAAACAAACAAACACACACACACACACACACACCCACACACCCACCCACCCACCCACCCACCCACCCACCCACCCACCCACCCACCCACCCACCCACCCACCCACCCACACACCCACACACCCACACACCCACACACCCACACACCCACGCACGCACGCACGCACGCACGCACGCACGCACGCACGCACGCACACACGCACACACACACACACACACACAGGCGCGCACACACAGGTGCGCACACACGCGCACACACACACACACATACCTGTCTAAACACCTCGCTCGCGGGTGGTTTCGACAAGGTGTTCTTGGAGAAGTTGGAAGGCGTGGAGCTGCCCTGGGCCTTGCAAGTCGAGGACTTCGAGCGTTCTTGGCTCCCCAGGCGGGACGGACGAGGGACGAGGGGCGGGGGGTCGCTGAGAGGAGCCGGGCCAAATAGATGTGCGCTGAATTTATAATGCCTTTTGAGGCAGAACGAGGCTTAAGGATTGTCCCAAAGCAGTGCGCTGCAAGAAAGTTGGCGGTTGACGGCCATGCAGGTGTGTGGTTTTACCATGGACACCAAGAAGCAAAGGATCATGTTGAAGCAGCATTGGTTGACATTGACATCATGCTTGAGTAGGCTCGTTTGGCCTGATCCTTCTTGCTGTTTGAGGTTTGATCAGGATCTGCGCTGCTGGCATGGCTGACCTTGAACTTTGCTGTTGAGTCTGAAAATTGGGTGTGAGATGCGGACGAGGCATGTGGAATGTCGTGAGATGTGGGGTGGGTAGCAATGTTCACGCTCATGTCAACTTTGCGCAATGTTTGGCAAGTCAAACTCCTTGCAGGCACTTGGGCAAGCTATGAGTAGAACGGCCGGTCAAAATTTCTAACGGGGACGATTGCCTTGAGCAAGCAGGTGGCTGCCAAATTCCGAGAAAACGTCAGTTGTTCTACGGAAACAAGACAGCAATCCCTTGCCGCGCTGTTTCGTGCGTGTGCGTGTCCTGTGTGTGTGAGTGCCTGTGCGTGTGCCTGTGTGCGCGTGCCTATGTGTGTGTGTACCTGTGTGTGTGTACCTGTGTGTAAATGCCTGCTTGCTGATGGTGTTGACCCTGACATCCCCATCTTAGGTTAGCTGCGATTAGCCATGCAGTTGTGAGTGTATTTGCAACTTACGGGAGCCCGTCCTACTGCGCTGTCGCGAATCGATGCAACGGCGGACTCACTAAAAGCATCCCACAACCAGCAAAACCACTAGTTGTTTCTCATGCCTTGGGGGAAACAGACATTTCGGCTGTGGCTCCAGCGAGATCAAAGCACCTCCCATGCCGAGCAAACTGCGGAAGGGATGGGCATTCAGCTTAGCCGTGCCCTGTCAAGATTGTCCAAAGGAACTCCAAACACCAACCATATGAGAAGTCCCTGATTGTTCATACCAACATGTCAGCACCCAGGCTGTTACCCTGTGTTCAAGATATAAGAGCTCAGATTCGATGCAACTGGCAGTCTCCAGCGCTCAACGCGCAGCGGAGTACGGATCCCGAGTCAGGTCTCACGTGGACCGCGCAGACGGTGCCACTTCCGTGTGCCTGGAGGTGATGTGCCCACGGACCTTACCTCGAGGCGGTTTTGCGCGAGCGGTCAAACTGTTCTCGGCCGGGACTCAAGTAATGTGAACATGCCGCGCCTGTGCTATGAACGGCTTGATGCGTCGGTCCATGGCTTCCGGTTGGCCTTTAAGCCTTTCCTACCCACCCGCATGCCTTATGCCAAGCGACAAGGCACCTGCGAGATGTGAGGTTCTGAAAAAGAGGTGGCCACCCATGTCAGAGGTGGCTTTTACATATTACCCAAGTCACAGGTGCCATTCATTGGGTTGATGGGGACGGCCATCCACCCTTAGCCTCAAAGCTGAAAAGTGATCAGCAGTCGGGAAGGGCCAAGGAAGATGTGTTATTCCAATGCCAAATGAAACCAAGTTTGCACTGCGCACGCCGGTTCGTCTCTGGGAATCATGAGTGCTCGTGTGTGAATTTTGAATAGGGGACCCTTTGGTGGACATCAATTAGGTGTGGATTCATGTCCACCAACCGTTTTTGTGGCGATTTGAGCCTTCCCTAAACGATTGTTCGAGAGTCGCTCGGGGTTTGGCGCAGGTAGCAGCTTCGGGCAGCAGATGCTGCAGTGGACGAAGCTGATGCTGCATCGAGCTGGGGTCCATATTTCGCTCTTTAAGGGCCGACAAATCAAACACATGTGCGGTGGGCTTTTCGGACAACGAGGGGCTTGCGCTTCTAGACGTTTCACCTTTAAATGAAATATGGTTGGATCTCCATGAAAAAGCAATGTTGCTGAAATTGTCAATTACGTGGTACAGTTGCGCCAATGTACATTTGATGTGACGAGTAGCTTTCAATTTCAAGGGTTTGCCACAATTATTCCAAACCATCGGCGGTCTTTAGAGGCAAAGCCCACCCACCCACCGTGTGGCTACAGGGGATTCCCTAGATCTTGCAAGTGGGGGACTTAAGGGTAGCCCTGTAGATTCAACCATGGTTGTGGTTGGTTTACTTGCAATCAACAGGTTCCGGGTTAGGGTCGAGTCGAATGATACGGCTGTGTTGCAAAGCTTTGGGAATGTAACGGAAAATGGTTTCGCTTCACCCGAAAGTTGAGATTTACGTAATCGTCAGAAATTGGACGTCAGAAATTGGACTGGGGGGGTTCGGGTTCGGGTCGGTTCAACAGGGGCTGCCTTCAAGCAGATTCAAAGTGACCAAAACTCTCACTGCCAGACATGGACAGGGGTGTCTTTCTTGGTTTTGGTAACTAGATGGCGAGGTTGACCTGGCTGTTTCATAATCTGCCATTACCAGGGCATCGATGTTTGCAGACAGACCGGACATAGAGCCTTCGGGAAGGCTGCGATCCTAGGACAGCCAATCTGGGCCCAGAGGGTGCGGATTTGAGTGCCTGGGCAGAAAAAGGATGATGAAAACATCAGGGCGGGGGGGCCCCAGTTGGATGCGTCTCACGATAGCCTCCTATTGGCCATGAAGGAGCTCAAGCCGATAAACAGAACTGACCGGTTGTGGCTCACTTGCCACTTGTCATGTTGAGTTCCGATCGTTGGGCCTGACGATCTTGGCGCATGGAGCCTCGCTTGTGGCCGGAGTGTTTGATTTCACTGAAACAACTCCTCCGGAACAACCAGGCAATGTGCACACCTAAGTTGGTCATCCAAGCAACTTCATGGACACTTCGTTCCAAAGCGTAAATGGGTGAAGGGTATGACAGCCCAGCCAAGATCAAGCTGCAACCATGCTCTACCGCTTGTACGTCCAGCAGAGACCTGCACGAACGCCTTTTCAGGCGGGCGAGGCCGCTTGGCATAGAAAGCCCTGCTTCCGGACCTGTGACCTCTGTAACGTTTGATGGTTGCTTTCCCCTTCTCGTCAGCCGACACAAAAGGCGCCCTGTTTTCCAAATTCTGCAGGTATCAGAATTTGGGCGGTTGCTGATCACTCCCCTTTAAGAGCACGTAGGCAGCCTAGGCTTGCGCCATCCGCCCAGCTCCGCTTTATTCGGATAGGCGTTTGCCTATTTGCGCAGGTTTGCCTACCCTTGCGTATCCCTCGAGTGGCCTTCACGCTACCCTTACATTGAAACTGGGAAACAAACTGCTCAGGATATGTCGGGCTGGGCTGGTAGATCGAAATTGGAGGCTCCTCCAAACAGTCCTGTGAAACCATCCCAATTTGGGTTCGGGGCAGTTTGACACTTGCCAAATGCGAGGGTCTCGCCAAGCATCGCCGCTTATGGTCCAGCTTAGCCAAGGTGATCTTCAACCACGAGCTAGCCACATGGCACGCAACTAGCCAAGGTTGCAACAGCTTTGATGTTATTAACCATATTGTTGTCTGCTGTGGGCATGCATACGTCCGCAAATCATCGGCGGTTGCAAGTGCTAGTCCATTTCCGGGCCCATCGTCTTTTAGTAATTACTCGGGATGGTTGACAGAGGTGTAACCCAGTGTGGGCACTCAAGGCATTGCACGGCAGCAATGAATTGGGTCTCGAAAAAGGAACCCTGCATTGGCAACTTTGCTTGGGTTCAACAAATCAATCCGTAAGCCAGATGGTGTTTTTGGTTTGTCTTGTTGTACGGATTACAAATTAGGACCAGATTGGATCCGAATCCCACTTTGAACCCATTCCGCAGGTGTTGCTGCCCTACTGGGTGCAAATGCAGCCGCACTTCTCGGACGGCTGGAAAGACTTTGGCGGCGTGGACGGGGAGCTGACGCAGCACACTGCCCTCCACTGGCCGAGGCGCGGTGCGTATGCCATGGGAATCCCTTTTGAATGGAACGCCACTTGTGGTTGGAGCCCGGAAAATGGAGGAGAGCTGAAAGATGTTGAAATCCATTGGAGGGTCTGAGAGGAAACCTGCGGAGCACTGACATGATAAACTGTCAGCGTGGGGCAGAAGATGATCCAAGCGGTGAGTGGCACAACCCTCCCAGCACACGCCTCGCTTCAGCCGCGTTGGACTTTCAATCTGTCAGCACGGTCGCTGTAAATGCGCGTTAGATTCCATTGATAGTTGCAATGGCTACCAACCGCAAGCCATTGTATGTCAAAGGGAGATACCAGTGAACTTGCAAAATGGATCTTCTCGTGCTGCATCGCACTGAGGCATTCACGAGCTGCGGCAGATTGGTCGCTTGTGTCAACTGCCAGGCCTGGTGAGGGGGTGGGGCGCTCTGGTACGGAAGGGCAGCTGTGTGGGCGGGGCATGGAAGACTCAAGTCAAACCGTCAAACCATTCAGCAACAGGATTCTGGAGACTCATTGATTGCTGTGAGCTACGGCAACCAAAAGGCCTGACCATCCCAGATCCAAAGCATGTTTTTGAGCTACCACACTTTTGAGAATCGGTTTGGCCGCCCCCCCTCTTTGGCGTGAAACCTGCAGTATGTAAGTGGGGTTGTCACCTCCCTGCTTAAGACGACGCGTCATCAAGCAAAGCAGGGCCAAGGAAGCTAACATCAATCTGGAGTCGACCTTCGCCGTTGTGTCATGGCCTGTTGTTGGCCACGTTCAAACTTGTGTCACTTTGTTTCCAGCGGATTGTTGACCCCTTTCTCCGTTAAATTGCTCAGTTGAATCATGAATCTCACTGAATTTTGACCAACTCAATATGAAAGTGGCAAGAACTGTTTCCACACTTTGCAACCCATGATCTGGGTAAAGCTTCCAGTGGCTCAGAACTTCAGGTCACTGTGCCAGTCTTTTTGCACTCCCGGGTGTGTCATTATTTTTAGCCCCCCAAAATGTGTTACTCCTCTTTGCCTTTGAAACCACCAACCCAAACATGGCGAACCGGTTTTCCACTCGGTTTCCCTTTAAAGCCAGAAACAAGCACACGGGGCACCGAGGAGCCAAGGACGAGCCACCCCTCGCGCCTCGCGCCTCGCGCCTCGCGCCTCGCGCCTCGCGCCTCGCGCCTCGCGCCTCGCGCCTCGCGCCTCGCGCCTCGCGCCTCGCGCCTCGCCTCGCGCCTCGCACCGTGAGGCTCTGGTTGCCGCTGAGCTTCGGGCCACCTTCGAGCCGCCAGGCGATGCCACAGAGCGTCATAGACCTGGCGCCGGCCTCGGCCGATCGGTGAACCGATCGTTGTTGTGCTTTTTGCAGCTGCAAGCATCTGAGGGGTAGGTTTTGGATGTTCTCGGCTTGAGCAAAAATCTGAGGGGTACCCCCCACCCACCCACCCCCCGGAAAATTGTTCTTGTTGGAGTGATGATGTTGGAAGTGTTGTGGAATGAGTGTCGTGGAATGTGTTGCTTGGCTAGCGTGGGCTGGTTGCTGAGGGTTTTGGGCTGGTGTCTCGGCTGGCTTCGAAGTCTCTGGATTTGGGGTCGTTGCGGGTTTCGATTGCGTTGGGTGGATTTTAAACAGGGCGGTTTGGGCTGCAGGCTGCCTGCATTCGCCGTGTGTTTTCAATCAGACGTGTTTCCAAAACGTGGATTTCCCCCACGTGTCACCTTTTTGCACAATGTCCCTTCCAAGCCCCATATTATAAGTGTAAGCAAATGTCTGGCCAATCCTTTGGATTGGGATGGTCGGTTGTTTAGATCAACCCCACAAGTGTGACCATGATGTGTATGTAGATTTGATTGCGCTCCTTGAGCTTTCAGAGGCGACCAAAACAAGTGACCAAACTATGCTGTTTGCACATTTGCCTTTCAAGCTGCCACAACCAATGACCAAGTGATTGCTTCACACAACAGCCAAGAATCTACCCTTTGAGGCATGACCTTTAACGCTTAGCGTCCAGTTGTCCTCAACGCTACGAAAATTCACATTGAATACAGCCACGGCCATCTCAGGCAAAGCGGCTTCTTTTGACGGGATTCTGCAGGAATGTTCAGGTGTGGTGCGCTTTTGCTTGGCACAAGTAAAGTGTGTATATGAGTCAACCTCAGAATTATCAAAGACCACTTTATCAACGGCGTTTCATTCAATACTGGTTTTTTGCATTTTCCTTGGAGAACGATAGGGGACTCACAAAAAACGATACCCCTGAACATGGTTTGTGCTGGACCTTCGAGCTGGAGCTGCCGAAGTCTAACTTGTGTACCGTGCCTGTACTGAAAGCTGCGACTTGCGACCTGGAGGTTGCTGCCAGCAAGCAAAAGCCGCTTAGACTGACACGTGACCGCCGCAAGCTGCGACCTTCGAGCTGGAGCTGCCGAAGTGTAACTTGTGCACTGCGCTTGTGGTGAAAGTTGCGACTTGCGACCTTGAGGTTGCTGCCAGCAAGCAAGCCGCCAAGACTGATATGTGATTACCGCAAGGCAGAGAAGGCTATTGTGTGTTTGCTTGGCTCTAACAGCTTATGGAAAATTGTGAAATTTTTCGTCACGCGACACACGCCCAGAACGATACCCCGGTCAATACCCCGTCGATACCCCGAGCATTGGCCCGAGTTGCAAATGTGAGGCCTAGTGCATTTGCTTACGAGTTCGCGCGGCGCTATAGGGGTTTGCGTAGAAAGTTTGTTGGGCACGCGTGGTCACCGCGAAGAGGGTTCACCGGGCACTTTCCAAATTCGCACGGAGTCGCAGCGAGGGCGCTTTGACACGCGCAATCCTCGCAGAGGGTTCATTGGGCACTTTACGATTTGCACGGCGCCACAGCGAGAGCGCTTGGGCGCGCAGGATTATTGCAGAGGGTTCACCGGGCACTTTCCAAATTCGCACGGCGTCGCAGCGAGGGCGCTTTGACACGCGCAATCCTCGCAGAGGGTTCATTGGGCACTTTACGAATTTGCACGGCGCCACAGCGAGAGCGCTTGGGCGCGCAGGATCCCTGCAGAGGGTTCATCGGGCAGTTTTAAAATTCGCACGGCGTCACAGCGAGGGCGCTGTGGCACGCGCAATCCTCGCAGAGGGTTCATCGGGCGCTTTACAAATTCGCACGGCGCCACAGTGGGAGCGCTTCGAGGCGCGCGATCCCTGCAGAGGGTTCATCGGGCACAGCACGAACACGCGAAACGTGGAGAACGATAGGGGACTCACTAACAGTAGAATGAATACACCCCACACAGCAAATATAGACGCTGGCTCATATACGTTCGTGGGTGCATCAGTTTAACAGCGCAGCATGCCTCCACTTTGACAGGATGATGAACAGACAATGTTCGAATAAGAAGGTTTCAGCAAGGTCATTAGATTGTTTCAGGCCATTTCCCAAGGCAAGACTCGGTGAAGCAGTGGTATGAAGGAACTCCCGGACACAATCTTGAAACTTATTATGGCAATGTGGGCATACAAAGTGCTTGCGGCCCTGCTGAATATGTGTGTTCAGGTTTGAAAGTTAGAACTTGCCAAATGACAAGATTTCGGGATCAGGGTACTCTGTTTGCACCAAAGCGTGTGGACATGCCGAAGCCAATGGATGGCCTTCCTTGTTTTTCGCGGCACCGAGGCGTTGAGATACTTCACTCTCGATCTGGCGCCTTGCGCTGGCCTCAGTGTCATTTGGCTTGTCTTTCGCACACAAAGTCGACATGAGCCGCTATCTCATTGGGGTCTCCAATCCCACAGCTAATTTATTTAGGCTAGGCGAAATGTGAGGCAGAATCTGAAAAAGCAAAAGCAATTACCTCAGGGGGACAAGCTGAGGGCCCTTCAGGAAGAAGGGCTTCAGAAACGGAAGGACGGGGGATGTGCAACACATGTGGCATTGCAAGAGTCAGAATGGATCCAAGTACCTCAGAAGGGATCTGTCGCCTGTCACCAACGGAGACCCTTGCCCTTTGAAGATGCCGGTCCAACGCCACATCGGCCCAGAAGCCATTAAGAGAACTCTGTTCTTTTTGCAGAAAGTTTGTCATTTGGGGTGGGGATGGGCATGGTTGGTCGCTTTGGTTCGCAGTTTGCTTGTGCTGCTGTTGAGTGTTTCCACAGTTTCAACTGCAACCCATGGGACAGTGCGCCGCTGAGCCGCCGGCTTCGGCTCAGCCAGCTGAGCCCTTGCCCCGGCGCCAGCCCCGCAGGAAGAAGCGCCCGAGCCGCGCCAAGCGGCTGCGCTCGCCGGCGGACTTCACGGCGGAGAACACGGGCTTCATCGACGAGGCGGTCGGGGGCGGGGAGGTGGGGTTGTCAGCCCATCCTTGGGGTCACGTCCTCTGTAATCCATAATCTGTGGTATGTGTGTGGTAATCCTGATGTGAGCATCTCTGGATTGTTTGGGATGGTTGTTAAGTCGAATCTTTTTACGGGTTTGCAGCAAAAGCTGAGTTGGGCTTCAGGCACGCAAAGCAATCAGTACCGAAACTTATATCAGTGTGTATTTTTTTTGAGTTGCCACGTTGTTGGTGGTTTCAAAGGAAAGCCAAGAGGAAAACCGAATTCCATGCGGTCCAAAACTAATACAAGATGACCGCCAGGTCAACCGAGCCAAGGGCGTGTCGAGCATCCGAGCCTTATCCGCACTCAAGGGGCAATGGTCCACGAATCCAAGTCCATGAATCCAAGGAGGGCATGGGTGAAAATTAAAACACCAGGGGGCCGCAGGTTTTAGCCGTTGTTTCCAGTTGCCAGGGTTCCATGTTGGGCATCTACTTTTGGGCCACCCCGAAGACCTCCAAAACGTATCGGCCATTACGTGTGTGTGTGTGTGTTTGCATAGCCAACCATCCGGTATGAACTTGAGGAGAGTGATTGGACCATGCTGTTTGCAAAGCTTTGTGTCAACCACTCAAGTTGGTTGTTTAGCAAACCGTTCCGTTCTAGGTACCTTGCGGCCTATGATCAAGCCACCCTTTTGCTTCTGTGGACGGTCATCAACCCCTGAATAGAGTCCTAGGCGCACTGCTAGAACATGTTTAGCATCTTTCCGACATTAGCATCGTTAGCTCTATATTGTGTTGTCCCCTCGTTTCTGACAAGTCTGAAGTCTGAAGCTGTGTTCCAACACAAACCTTGAGTAATCCTATCACAGTTGATTCTAAAGTGTGTCTTATTGCCAATGCATGCCTAGCCATGGTTGACGCAGGCTCTCAAAGCAGGTCCAGCTTATGAGAAGCTCGCTTTATCGGGTACCACACATCAGACCAACTTTCACTTGAAATATCTGTGCTCCGAGCTTTTGACGCCTCAGAGTTGCAGAGTCAGTGGAGTCAACTGGGCCGAGTTTACAAGGCCAGGCAGATGCCCAATGCCAAGAAGCAGGAAAACGGCATCTCTCAAAAACAAAAGATGTCATATATTCCAACATGTCTTTGTGAGGTCTGGTTGGCTTTCTGCAAGGTTTATTGCACCCTGTTTTATTACATGCTAGAATTTGTAGTGGGAACCAAGTCTTGCAAAAGACCCAAGCTCTGATTCAAAGGGCCTCTCAGATTCCATGTTTGCGGGGTGCAAATCATGGAAATGCCCCATGCCATTTGGAAGTACCCTTTTTCCGGTTCTGTGAATTCTTCACTGAAGCTTACACAGCATGCTTATTATATACGTTCAATATTTGATCATTTTTTAATGGACACATGAACAGAGCCACCAGAGCCACCCATCCAACCAAAGATAATGGGAGGAAATCAAAGGAAGCTCTTGTTTCTCATTGCACTCTTGCGTGTTGAACACGCGTTTGGCCTTTTAGGACGAGCTCCCTGAATTCCCCCCTCGCCGCTTGCGCGAGGGGAGGGCGGCCTGCCGGGCAGTGTGGGGGGCTTCCGCAGCTTCAAGGAGCTGCGGCTGGTGGGGCACCAGCAACAGGCGGGACCGCGGGACCGCGGGACCGCGGGCGATGCGGGCGATGCGGCGATGCGGCGATGCGGCGATGCCGTGCGCGTGACGCTTTCCAGAGAACAGAGCTGTGCCAAGAATGCCAGCCCAAAAAATAGTCAACAGCTGAGAGATTGAACACTGAATAGCTGGTGAAGGCAGAGACTTGCCGAGTGCCTCGCAAATAAGGAAGCCGGAGAGGTCAATGTTACTTTGAGGCTGGCAAGTAGCATGTTGAGTGTCCATTTTGGGTGCACAACTTGTTGCAGCCTTGTTTTCAGTGACCAGAAATGGGTTGTCCCAGCGGCTCTGTCCGGCAGATGCTTCATCTCTCAAGATTTGGGTGTGGATCTTAGCTGGGGACAATAAGCTATGTAGGAGGGTTTTATTGGATTTAACAGCCCTAATAATGTATATATACACACATAACTATACTATCTCTTATTTGTTTGAAAAACCGTTTCATTCATTGAGTTTCGATTCTTGGTCATTCTTGACGCCAGCTGTGCAATCCGTTTCGGGGTTGAAATAGCCTTGGCCTTGTACGGCAGCTGGGTGCGCGCGTATCAAAGATCCTCCCCAGATTCACGGAACCAAACAAACCGCCATTTGTAACGAAGCTCCTTTCGAGGGGACCCTCCTTTCCGGGTTCCATGTTAGTCTGTAGGGGGACTACTGTTGGGATGCCTGGATGAGCCCCCATTCCCTGTTTGGTGCTGGTGACTGGTGATGTTCATTGCTCGGAATGATGCACCTATTTGTGAACTGAGCCGATAGCTCAAACAGATACTCCTCAAGTCAACACATGCTGCCTGAAATCGATAGGTCCCTTCCCCTAAGGAGCGAGCGCATGAACGAGATGCTCGTTGGGCCCCTAGGTCAAGATGTGCCACCGAACACCGAGCTCTGAACCTCACAGGGCCTGCAGTGGCAAGTGGCAGTGGCCGGCCCTGGCCTGAGCTTCTTCTGCCGCCGGGAGCATCGACGCCGGGCGCCCCAGCCAATGCGAGTCGCGCTGCGTGTGTGCTTCGTTGGTGTAGCTGATGAAGTTTGCCTCTTGTTCTGCTGGTGTCGGCACTCCTTTCCATAAGGGTTTTCTGACCATTCGGCACCTCAGCGACTGGGGCGACCGGCAGCCAAGTTTGCCAGCGACTGGGCATGCTAGGTTCCGCTTTGCCATTGCCAGGTGCTACGTTAGTGGGAGGGAGGGCAAAACTCAGAATGCATTGAAAGAACCCCCCCCCCCAAGGGTAGGGTAAAACACACACGCAGACACCGCTTCGAGGCAGCTCCTGGGGCAGCACGCCGGGTGCTGTGGAAGCCCCCGTTTCCAGCGCGCTGCGCACCTGCGAGGCGGCGAAGAAAGCGACGCACGGGCGAGCAAACGGGCGGCGCTCTGTAGGGGAGGGTTCCCGCACTGGAAAGGAAAGGATGTGTGCCAAGGAAGGCACTTGTTGATTGTTTGCCTGACTTTGAAGGACAAGAAAAGGACGTGGTTGGTTCTTGAGCACGAAGGCCAACTGGTTTTTGGCGGCGTGAGTCTTGGGAGGTTTGGGGGGGCATACTGTCGGTCTAAACAAGGTCCGAACAGGAAACAGTCACGATGTTGCAGGCAGACGACGCGTTGTAGCGAGCAAAATGCATCTGTCTCTCATGAGGGTCCACCAGAAGTTAGCCAACCACCCACCTGACAAAAGCAAGCACATGTGATCAAATGCTTTGGATCGACTCATGAAGTTAGCATTGTTTGCGACGTAGCTGCGTTTGCAGTGTTGTACTAATAGTTGGGCCATGGCCAATGGCCTTGCCTTGAGGATATCGTCAAGTGCCTGTTCGGCAACGCACGCATTTGAAAGCAGTTCGGGTTGCCAATGATCATGCTTCTCCCCCTCCCCCCCCCCCACACTTTGCTTGTGTTTGTTGGCTGTTTGGGCGCATGACAAACGGAAGATGGCACGCCTCGCAAAAAACGTGCAGGCGGGCCTGCGACCTCCAGGCGCAACGGCCTGCGGCCTTCTGGTGGCGAGCAGTCTCGTGTTGAAGACTTTGCAGCCAAGAAGTCCACAGAGTCTTCTACCGGACCCCATCCATGTGGATATCGAATGGTTTTGGGGTCGACGGTTGCACCCCTTCAAATAGTAAGAACAGCTTCCTGGACGTGCAGTGTGCTAATCTGCCTTTTTTATGGCGAGCTCGCCTGCGGGTGAAGGTCCTCTAAGAGGGTTTCGGCTCAGACCGTCACGTGTTGACCTAGACATGGGACTCCCTACGAACTGAGCCAAGACATCGCAGTGCAGATCATCTCGAGCCAACACAGGTGCGCTTTTGTCATCCAGATCAGTGTGCTCTTCCACTCTGCCGAGATTGCAACAGACAAAGGCACTTTTGGTCTCTTTTGAGGCCTTTGCTACTTCCTCACACTGGATGACTTTCGGTGCATCTATTTCCTCGTCCAAACTGGCGTCCGGCCTCTGCAAGTGGAATCTGAGCTGTGATGGCTTTGCAGGAGGAGCGCATGAGTCTCAGTTCCAGTGTACGTAAGTTGTGCTCACCAACTCACGTGGCTGCGGATTGTGGCATTCCCATCCATGTGGCATTTGCCAACTCTCACACGCATACCCTCCAAAAACTAGGTGCTTCACCTTGGGCTGAGTTTTTGTGGGCTGAGTTGTTGTGGGCCTTTTTCTTGTAGACATACTTTCAGTGGCGTTTCCGTGCGCCTCCTCAATGTCAACCTGCTCTACCCGATTGCATGGGCGCTTTGTTCGCCAACAGCACTTGTGACTCACTTCCCGAGAATCCTGAGCAGCCGTTGATGCTGTAGGCAGCGACACCCCTGATGCACTGCCCAACTCACATTCTTGGTGTCTCTTTCTGGATGCGACGTGCTTCAACGGGCGATGATCACTGCGTTGGCACACAGCTGACACTTGCGGGGGGCTGGTGGCCACGGTTCCCCCAAGTGGTGTCCGCTCGTCAGCAGGATGCGTCCAAGCGTGCCAGAAACAAGCTCGACCTGCAGAGAGGGCCGCGTTTCCGAAGTGTCTTGTCTTATTGAGAAAGCTGGATTATCTGGGCAACTGCGTTGCTGTAATTGACACCTGGACCCACACAGTCTACCACAGTCACCTTGGGCTTTTCCAGCTTGGATTAGCTGGACCCGAGCAGCCGCCGGAGTTTTCCGCTGGAATTGGAAAGCACGTGAGCTTCTCGATCTGTCACGCTGGGGCCTGGCAACGCTCTTGTCAGTCAAAAAGCCAGACTTACCCACCAATCTTCTGGCCTTTGCTGGTAGAAATATGGCACAGCGCTGATTCTCCGCGGCAATTGTGCCTGCGCCTCCCCGCCTGCGAAGGCCATCGCAAGAGGTTACTTGGGGGCCCCCATTCCTCCTTCACAAGAAAAAAAGCGACGACACGTCCATACCAGACTGTCCGCCCATCCACTCGCCACAAATTGTCTCGACAGCTGCGACAGAGCCTATAACAGACAGCTGGACAGCCAAGAACTGACAGCCGTGACAGTGAAGCCTGAGGCTCCCGCCAGTGGCCCGACCAGCATCCGCGGATTGGCGTTTTTGGTGCCTGTGTGGTTGCAGTCTAGCCTACTCCAGCAAATTTCTTAGGTGGGGGGTTGTTCAAAGTAAAATAACTTCAGGTTTTGGAACTATTGTTCAAATTCACTCCGTGTTGGGGGCCGATGGCAGGCGCTTGGCAACAATCGTAGTTTCTTTGGCCAGGCGATGCTGTCCAATTCTGCGGCAGTCCGGCCGAGGTAAACGCAGTTGCTCGGCATGGGCTGGTGGGATTGTCAGCGCCAAAAGGGCATGTTGGGCAAAGACCACAGGCCAAGCTCCTTGACTTCTCACCTTGGTGAAACCCTGTCTTTGGCTGGGCGAGTCGGTCCTTTGTTGGCCATGCCCGGGCCATGCCCTTTGATGGCATTTGGAAAGTATCATCCCCGCCAATTTGGACGCGAAAAGGTCAGGGAAAACTCCCCTACATTTGTGCTAAAAACTGAGGATTTCCCTTTTGGTTTCCATTTAAAGTCACCCTGTTGAGCAATGACACCCAGCTATGCTGTTTGCTTGAGGGAATGCTTGTTTCCTTGAGCTCGGCAACTTGGCCTTAATTGATGTTACAAGGCACAAGACAGGACAGGAGCCCGTTCTCTTGTGTTTGCTCTGGCGGGCACAAGTTGCCCAAGGCTCTTTCCCTGCTGGCTTATCACCCTGTCGCCATGCCTTCGGCTCGGTGCCTCAGTTCCGTGTAGGCATGAGTGCCCTCGCCAGGCTTCGATCTGAGAATGAATCCACTGGGTTTTGGATGGTAAATATCATGACCCTTGCATTTGCAGTTCAATATGTGGAAGAGGCGTGAAGGGGCACCAGTTTGAACTGAAGCCAAAGCGGGGCGCTCGAACAGTTGACCACATTTGCACAGGTGCACGGGAGGCCCAAACCTGAAGCAAGGGGGGGCCTCGTCATTGCGATGATTTGTTTAATCTTGGGATTGGGCGAGATCTGGTCTCTCTACGCGCAGCGTTCCTAGATTTGAGTTTCTGCTTGGGCTTGGGTTGCAGGTGGCAAACGTGTCGGAACCCCGGCGCGACGCGCGGATGTCGGCGGACGAGCTGGAGGCCGCAGCTTGGCAGGTGCACCTTGTGCATAATACCGACAACTACGCGCTGGCATCAAAGAGAATGGCACGCTTTGCCAGCTGGTTCTTTGGCAAGCTGTCAACAAAGCCACAGGGGCTCGAGTTGCAAAAGGTCCTGTGCGGTAGTGTCACAAGAGGCTTATAGTTTTGTCATGAACCTTGTTTCGTCAAGCTAGACCTTTGGAGATGCCAGGCCTCAACCTGTTGCGTTGCCTCAGCAAGCACGCCTTGCTTTGGTCTGCTCCGTTTGCATCGCTTTGAAGGCGCACTTCAGCCAATTGCGCGTGTCTGCGCGGCCGGGCTGCGAAGGCGAGAGCGGTAAGCGGGGGCAAGATGGGCACTTGCTGCAAGCCTTATTTGATTTAGCATCTAGCTCGCTGTTTGATCAGGCACGTTACCATCTTGCTGTTCTAACAGTTTAGGGAGCCGGCTGACTGAATGGCCGGCGCAGCCAGCTGCTGGCTCATTAGCCAATAGCAAACTTGCTGAGAAGAAGTATCTAACTGGCTAGTCTGCTTGGCCAATGGTCAGACACAAGAAGGAGAGGAGTGTATTCTTGCTTGTGCAGCCTTGCAGTTAAGGCCTAGCCCACGTTTGTTTTCGGTGGCAGCAGCTTCCGACCCCCGGCTTTATTGGCCCATTTTTTACTGGACTCACCCGTTGTCTGTCAGCGTACCCAAACTGGACAAGGCAATGAGTGCCGGTGTTTGAGATTACCAAAACACACATGGACTAGCAGAAGACGCATTCTGCTCAACCTCTCTAAACTTAATTGTCCAACGCTGACCTCTTGCGCTGTGGTCCATGTTTAATCATGGCCCGGGAAGGTTAGCATGCAATTATCGTTTGTTTTTTCCTGGATACACAATTGAGACAAGCATTGCATCATTTTGAAAACACCAAGATGCCTTGGCCCCTCCCTGCCCCAGTCAGGCTCAAGCACGGCGGACGAGGCACGTCTATCAATCCGTGAGGGAAGCTTCAGCGAGTAAGCCTCACTCCCTGAGTTCCCGAACTTCTTACTTTTGGGGAAGACTATCTTAGTGGTAAATCGAAAGTTCGAGCTGTTTTTTGCCAATCCACTCAGGAAGATCAGAAAGTGAGAAGCGGAGAGCTAGGGCCAAAAGAAAGGCCCTTTTGACTTGGCTGAGTGTGCGTGGACCGATCACTGTGTGCAGGTGACAGAAGTTCAATTTGCTGCGTTGCTGGATGACGTGGAGGAGCTTGTCACTGCTGATGCCTTAGAAACATTTGCTTTGCGCATCAAAATGTGTCGCGCAGCTTCTAGCAGGAAACCTGGAGCAAGTTTGGCAAGCCTCACTGTTTTCTCGCGGGTTTTCCGGGACGTGTGGGTGTGCCGGCTGGTCGCAGATATTTGTCTGGTTTCCGATGCCAAAGACTCTGCAACCGCACTTTTCCCCATGCGAGGAGGTCAGGTCTTTAATCCCGTCCGAGGTTGGAAGTTGACTGGATGAGGGTATTCAGACTCTTGCACAAATGCTGCGTTTGCAGCCAGCTCCAACTCGATAGTTGGGGAGGAGTTTTGGCCAGCTCCTTGCCCGGTTTCTGGCAGACTGTGGTTAGTTGCCAAGCCAAGTGTGCAGTTGACACAACCCGTGTTCAATTCTTTGGGCGAGCGCCTGTAGTTACAAAATACTACAGTACAGGCCAGGAGGAAACATGTGTTGCGCAACATGCTTTATTGAATTGGTGCAAAACGAGGTAGGGACACCCACAACGAGGTAGGGACATGACATATAGGTGGTTGAGATCGACAAACGCATGTGGCTTCCTGTGAGGTTAATGAGTCCAAACGGCACAAAGGATGCCAATTTAGGAAACCCAGAAATGAAGGTTTGAAGCTCGACGCTTTCAACGCGTGACAGCTCCTTGTCCTTCAGGTTGTAGCGCACTGCGCGGAGCGCTGCCACCTATTGGAGCGATTGGCCGCTTCCTTCCGGGAGGCCCAAGAGGGCTGAGTGGCTAGCCATGCAAGGCTTGGCGTGTTGGGTATTGCCACGGGTTTCTTGCAATATGCTTGCCACGGGACAGCTCATGGCTAAGCGCGGTGATCATACACTGAGCGCAGAGCAAACTGAATACTTGCGCATTCTTCGCATTCTACAATGTGAGGTTGTGTGTGTGTGTGTCATATTTGTTCTTCAACGACAAGCACAAATACGTTGTGCACCACCACTCTCCAGCGATGAAGCCGGGAGTTGCTTGATGGCAGCTGGTGTCTTTTTGAGGGAGACATGGCTGGGTTGGCACTTGCGTGTGAATGATTTTGGCTAAATACTGGTGAAGTCAATGTACCTTGCCCGGGCATGAGGGCATATGCCCTGAGGATTGGAAGGAAACCGCCAAACCATAGGGTGTTTTGACGGGCGTTGCCTCGCCAACGCTACCACTCCAGTGGGGTGGTAGCCGTGGAACATGGACACACTGTGCAGATGTTTGATTTTTCGACAGCCATGGACTCAGATGCCAAACGACGACGTGAACTGCCGTGGACAACGTGATGTCGGAGTTCCCTTCTTGCAATCACGCACGTTGACGGTCAAAACACTACAACGATGTGAGAAGTAGCAAGGCACATTGAGAGATCCGGCGATTCAAAGTGGTGACGAAAATGGCAGGACAGGTTTAGGTCTTGGTCGGGATTCAAGCACCCTCGTCAAGAACTGGATTCCAAGAAATTGGTATGTTGGCAGCTTGCAATCCTCGGATTTTGTGGTGGGATGGATTTTTGCGGACCCCCCCAAACTCGTACCTAAAGTTTTGCTGCCACGGAAGATTTGTTCAGGGCTCAATGGGCGGGGTGATGAGATGGTAATTTAATGCCCAAGAGACGGAGCTCAAAGATGCACGTGCCGCAACCTTTAGCCTGCATGCAAACTCTGCAGGCTTACGCCAAGTTGCCCATCATCGCAACTTGCGAATGCGCCGAGGATCAAGAATGTGCGGACCTCAAATCGGCATGTGCTTTGTAGCCAGGCACTACCCTCAGAGCAGCCAGGCAGTGACAGGCAGCATCATATGGGTATGTGACGTGTCAGAATAGAGGCGCCCCCCCAAAAAATAGTGCTTTCAAGGTGCAAAAGGGCATTGCTGCGAGGCATAGAGGTAGGCGCAAGCAGGTCTCCAGCCAGCTCCTCGAGCTCACGATACAGCATGGAGCCTAGGAGCGCAACGTGCGGCCTCGCCAGTGCTTGTCAGAGGCATAGCAGGTGTTTGGTGACCCCTTCAGCGTGGCATGGCGATGTCTTTCCAATATCCAGAGGCTTCGCCTTTGTCCCGCATTCACTTTCCCAATCTAGCTGAGCGCAAACATGTGTTGGCATTGGCACCAGTCATCCCCAGAACACTTAGGTGCCGCACTTCACGGTAGTCTCCGTCCCTTACGACTTCGGCCTGTCACGCGGGACCGTCGGGTTTTTTCCTTTCGGGATGTCTTGCACCAGCGTTCATGTCTGTTTATACAATTTTGTGTATGTGTATATTATATATTACATGGGCGGGCGGGCGGGCGGGCGGGGGGTCGCTGGCTGTGTGCGGGTGGCTGGCTGCAACTGCGAGGCTGGCTGGTTGGCTGGCCGGGGGGTGGGCAGGCTGGCTTGCTGGGTGAGTGGCTGGCTGTCTGGCAGGGGGTGGGTTTTGCAGTTTTCCAGTGTGGTTTGGAGGAGCGATTCCTGGGACCGCGGAGGTCGGCAAGCTTTTCCTTGCGCGAACCAGTTGCACTCTTGCAGGTCTGTTTCGTAGATTGCCTCAGTGAAATAGTGCAAGGCGTGCAGTAGCTCACAAATTTCTCAGCTGCCAAACCAATCACTTGGCAACTCTGCTTTGGATTTGGGATCAGACAGCATTGTTGGCCGCAAGTCGGTGCAGTTGGCTGTAGTTTGGGAAGTGTGCAACATCCTGTTGTTCTGCACCGCTTGCCGAATTGCTGCTGAATTGAAGCGTAGAATCCCAGCCATGGAGAGGACATCGTAGTTCGTCGTTAGGGAAACAAACCTAAGCGTGTGCATGCATCCGTATTGGATCACAAATAAACCGCACTCCGTGTTTGTCACAACAGCCAGCGCCCCACAAATCAGTGGAAAGAGGGCTGTTGCCTGCCTACCTGCCCCAGGTCCCTCAAACCCGCCATTCGGGAACAAGGATGATCCGCTTCTCCGGTTGGGTTATTCAGCGCAATCTATTGGTGTGTTGTCGCGTATCAAGCAACCAGTTCAAAGGATAAAAGAATACGTCGTTGACCGGTAAGCATTGGTACACAATTTCCGTGAACCTCGCAAGCCATAGCCAGTCCCAGATAATGTTTGGTTTGCTTGCAATGTGAGGGGCGTTGCAGAATATGGATTGTTTTTTTTGCAAAACAACTTGGCAGGAAGACACTGCTGGTGGAGATGACGCACACGGAGCTCGGCCCTCAGACATCGTTCAGCGACTTCCAGGTGGGCACCAAGGGCCGTATGCGTTTGACGTGGGAACCTTTCGGGACGCAACATCAGTCTCGCTTTTGACACCCCCCTACCCACCCACCCACCCGGCAGGCACGCAGGCAGGCAGGCAGGCAGGCGGGCGTGTATGAACAGCTGTTCCTTGTTCGCCTGGCACGGCCAAGCCTCTGGCCCAGGTTTGTGCTGGTGCTGGATGACGACTTCACGCATTCCATGCACTCCTGTGCCACGCCAAGCTTTGGCGCTCACTTTCCTGGTGGGTTTCCCAAGATTCGGGATTTCTGGTTGATCGGTGGTTGGGGGGAGACAAGACGAGTAGGGTACTGGGCCCAGGAGCCTCCACATGCCACACTCATTGACAGGGAGCCTGACGTAATGTGGTTTTCTAGGGATGCCTTTGGATGCCTTGCGCTCAGGTTTGGAGTGCATGTTGTGGAAGATGCGGAGTCGGCACTACTCGGCCTGGAAGTCCGGGGCTGATCCTGGCTTGATCTGAGAAGTTTCGCCATACACCGCATCCGATCGGATGGGCCTTCATGCGAATTCCAGAGGCAAGCGCAGGGGACACTCTCCAGGACCAAGTTTCAGCAAGGAGCATGGCCATGAGAGTTCAAAGGTAGCATGGGAGTGAGTAGATACTGCCGCGCTTCGCCAGGAAGTGTCGTTGCACCAAGTTTTTCCTGCGCAAACGCTCCGAAGATTTTCGCTTTGTGATTCACCTTTCGGTGGTGTCACCGCCGTGAGCAGTTTCGAAGACCCTTTAGCTACCAGAGGCGGTCAGTTCCAGTCACCTGTAGGCCGACCAACCTGCCCTGCGCCTGAGCAGTGCCAAGGCCCTTCGACGTTTTGGGCTTCCCGGTGCAAGAGGACGAGCGGATCTTCGGCGCCTTTCGCGGCAGGCCAGTCGCAGGTGGATGCGCTGCGGCTCTCGTTCTTCTTTAAATAAGGGCCCAGGTCCTTTTTTGCTTCAGAGCCTAAGCTTCCATATGTTGATTAGTTGTCCAAAGCGAATCTACCTTTCGCGGCTGGTCTTCTAGTTTTGGCCCTTATGGGGGGGGGATCTTATTCCTTCATTTCTGGGTTTGGGCAACTCCCGAGACATTGTCTCGGGCCATGCCAAGCCTGCACTGTTCGCGTCGGAGAGACCCTCTCCCATGGACCCGCCAGCCAATCCGGCCACAAAAGTTGGTGAGCTCACCCGCAAATATGGCTATTCATGCTATTCTCAAATGGCCCCCAAGCGCATTGTTTCCTAAAGCCATCCAGAAAGGGGTCCATTGTGAAGACTCCCCAATATGTGCCTTTGGCCCAGCTCCATGGCATGCAACAAGTTAGCCGAAGAAAGACTCGGACAGAAGGGCCAACACCTCGCCCGTCTGAAGCCGGGTAGACTCGGTAGGCGAAACTTGTTTGTTTCCTCTGAGTAAAGTACGCTGTTCATCTGACTCGGCTCACGGCAATCAACACGAACCTCATACCCCCAAGGCGCGAAGAACTCTCATTTTATGGTAGGCTGAGTTGGGTGTTCTTTTCAGCTTTCCCAAAATAAAAGGGCAGGACCAGTTTGCTGGTTTGGTTTATCCCATTTATGTTCCGTGATACTCACGTGGGGTATACAATTTGATGTGTACCCACTGTCAGTTGGACTAGCATAGGGCTGGCACGGAAAGTGGCTCATAGAAGCCAAAAAAAAGAAGACCTCAAGTTACCCCACAAGCTTAACTATCCTCTACTTCAAGTTTCTAAAACTATCTACCTGTTCTTGATACGATGTCGATTCCCGGCTTTAAAAAGCTGATTGCCTTGGCTGGTTGCTCATTCGTGGTGGCTAATTAGTTGACCCCATCCCCTCTGAAATCGAGCTGCCAATATCAATGATGCTGTGTCCAACTAGTGGCATTCAAATGGCCGTGTGTTGCGTGGATTGAAGCGCCCACCATAAAAGGTTGACATTCCCGCATTTATCTAATCCCAACCCCAAAAACAAGAATCAAGAGCTAGTTTACTCCCAAACAAATCAACGGTGCAGGGACCATGTTCCCGTCCGTTTCGGACGCGGCTCAGCTTCCGGGTCACCAATCAGCAGCTCTTCCTTGAGCCCATGGTGGAGGACGCAAAGAGCCGTCAGCTTTTAGCCCATTGACGCGGAAAATACATGGCTGTGGGTGAAAACCATTTTGGGGTAGGTGCACCACCCATTTTAGTCTATTTTAGTGGGGATTGGGATGTTCACTGGGGGTACGGGATTTTGACCCATGGCCATATCCCCCCCCCCCCCCACACATTCCAGTTACTTTGTGTTTAACCCTTGCTTCTGGGGTGGTTTGGTTGGTTTTCCACAACCAGGAGGAAAGGGTGCCCTTTGCTTCCAAGAACTGGCAGAAGCAATGTTTGGAGCAACTGTCATGTTTGATCGGGCGATTTTCAGCCGTTTTTTGCCAGGGATGCGTACATCTGAGACACACATAATACGTGTATGCACAGGGTTCGACCCGCCCCACGCCTTTCCCTGCTCCTGTGTCCAGCAGCAAGACCCTAAGGCCTTAAAGGGCTGGCTTTTGGCTTCCAGCCCCCCTGATCCTACATAGAGATCAGGGACAGAGAAAGACAGTTGAAACTGACACTGGAAATATGTCAACGCGCAGCACGCATCGTTTCACCTTGATGTGAGTCTCAGCTTGCCATGGGCCAAGGCGGCCTGACTATCCCCCACATTGTTTGACTGAGGGCAATGCCAGCCAACGGCTACCATTCGGGTTGAAGGGCTGGGTAGTGGAGGTAAAATGATTGGGGTATATTGGGGTAGATTGCATATACAGTGCACCTATGCACTGCATTGCGTTGCAGTACATTACATTACGTGCGTATATGTACGTCATGATGTTTGCAAGCAGAAGCCCTTATGATAGACTGAATTCCCAGTGGGCCAACGACCCTCGTACATACTATTATATGATATATGTAAGAGTTACAGGTTGTACAATGAGGATATTTCCTGGCAACAGGTGGAGTGGAAAGGGATAGGAGTGTGCCGATAGCTGTGCCGTGACCATGAGACATACGATTTGCATGGGTCATAGAGATGCTTGTGCGTTTGCTAGGACCAAGTGGCCAGACCCTGCTCATATATATATATATATATATTATATATAGATATATATAGCCACATATATGTATACGCATTGTTTTTAACTAAGTAGAGCCAGCCTTCCTTGTGGAAAGCCTCCCTGGCAAATCAACTTGAGATGCATTAATGAGGGCTCAGCATATGAATAACTGTCTTATATAAAATAGGGGACCCAACAATTTTCGGTGTCCCTTGTGACAGTGTTGTCCTTTCACATGAGCCCAAAGCAAGCACCCGCAATTGAGACAAGTGCCAGGAGCTCTTGCCTGACGGGTGCATGCGCGTGGAGATTTGCAGGGTATCCCAGATGGCCCTGCTGTGTTCAACAAGCGGGGGAGGGGGGGGGGCAATGCAATCTCAATGGTAGGGGCCAGTAAGCAACTCATGGTGTGGGGCCGGGGTTGATTCGGGAAGCGATTCCGCGCCAAAAACGGCGACTTTGGGCACCAGCAAAAGTTTCGCTTCGGCAACCTCTTCGCGGCTCTGTTTCTTGCTCTGTTAACTTCAGGTTGGCGCGCTACACATGCGCATGTCAGGACATGAGTGGTCGATTTATCGAGACAAGGTACCAAGACACACCCTCAACTCCATGTCAAACATGCGCAGTGAGTTTGACGTAGTGACAATCATCAGCGGCAGGTCTTTGGTCAATGACCTGAGCAAGTTCGAGTCTGCCCAGTATCTCACAAGAACATGGGACCGCATCATCCCGCAAAACCCCATAGAACCACGGAGAGCAACTGAAAGAGGCTGCAAGGGAATTCGCTGTAGTTTTACCATTTGTTGAACCAAAGAATCGCAAGTTCCCTCAACTAAAACCACGCCGATCTCGCGCTAGGCCCCATGGTGTTCCTGGGGAGAACCGCTCGGATGAGAACCTTCCACTTTCAGAAGGATCTCCGGGCCGATTCCTGAGAGCTGAGCGAGCGAGCGATCTGAGGGGTTGAAAGAGCTCACAGGTGATGAAGATTGGAGTGTGTCTTTTCTTTGAGGCTGCCCCTGTGTTGTGGGGCTGAAAGGGAAACCAAGCCGCCTTTCTCTTTTCCTTTTTTTTTGGGGGGGGAGGGTCCCCCTTAAAAAGACGCGCATTGATATCTCTTAGTTGAGGCTGATTGGTGTTGAGTGATGGAAGTGGGTGCCACAAGCTGTTAAGCCTTGACTGGCAGTTGAGGCGCTGAAAGGTTAAGGGCCAAGCCCGTTGTGCAAAGAAAGCCTGAGGGTTTTTCTGCCAAGGGAAGCATGTGACCCTGAGTCCAACAAGACCATTGGATGTTATCCAAAGTTTGGCCTCCCTTTGTTCATTCACATGTGGAAGACATCAAGCACAATGCACCAAGGGCCAGCTCCTTGACCAAGAGTCGTTAAAATGTGAGAAGCGAGCAGGCAACACGCTGCACGAGTTGTTATCAGAGGTGCCATGCTTGATTCCCTCAATGTTTTCAACACAGAAAGAACGGACCCTGTCCCCTTATAGAGCCGGACCCAAACGGGGCCCTCCCCCGGTCAATGCCTTGTTTCCCTTGTTGTTGACAGGGTTGCCCACTAAAATTGGTCAACCCAAAAGGGTTCCCTTTTTCTACCAGGGCCACTGGTTGCAACCACAAAGGTAGGGGAGCACGAGCAGTTCTTCTACTCCAATGCCTACAATGGAGTCCAGGCCGGAGATGCCGTGTGCGACGCGAATGGACCTGATGCGGATGTAAGAGACAACTATTATTGCCAGGGGAAAAATGTCAGAGCTTGTCAACAGCTTTGGATGACGTCTGTTGCTGAAGCCCTTGTTGAGAACAGGAGTTGGGATGGCTTCTGGTCTCCCCTGACTTGGCATGGACCGTGGACCAGTGAAAGGTAGATTCTACGAGACCAAGTAAGGCGAGGGACAATGCACAATACGATGTACATTGAAACCTTGCTGCAAAAATAAAACATGAAAAAAAAGATCTTGTTTCATGAGACTTTACTGGTCTAAGGAATCCCAAGAAAAAGGCCAGGTCTGGCAAGGTCACGGTTCCCCAGTGAGAAGTGAGACAGTTCGCTTTGCCCAACTCATTTGCCAAGCAAGAGGGCATCCGCGGGTGTGGCATCCTAGTACCAAGATTGGGCAACTTGAGCGTTCTCACGGAAGAGCTACCATTGGTGCTGGCTTCAACCATGTTCCACAGCTGTTTCTTGTTGAACATGTTCACCGTGTGATATCCCGAGTTTGTCAGAAAATAAAATGAGCATCAGAAGTTTCATTGCTCTATCTGCGGGGCAACTGAAGCAACCTTTCAATGCACACATTCAAGTTGATTGTCGATTAAGTACAACATTGTACAAGTGTACATGAAAGTTCCGAGTCGTTTGGTTGGTAAGTTCAAAGAGCTCGGGAGTCAACCCCGGAAACTCCTCAGGTCGCCGTGTGCTTCGACTCCTCCTTCCCGCACTTCCGAGCCGGGTGCCCGGTGTGCGGCATGGGGTCGGCCGCCTCATTAGCGGAAGGCCTACTGTTCCCCGCGACTTCCATTGCTCCATGCGTTTCACGAGCCATGGTTGCACCATGGGTATGGGTGTGCACCGTGACCCAAAAGCCGAAGGTGGCTGGGGCTGATTAATTACTGAGCCAACTAACCCGCGAGGGCCGCTCACGTTTGATTCAGGTCCTGGGGGTCTCATGAAGGTCCCCTTTGTTGGGCACCACCACGTTGCAACGCTCTGCGCAAATCGATGCAGCATAGTTCGCTGCGAAACAAACATGAGGCACAAATTGGAATTTACATGTGCATCTCAATGTGCAACTGAAATTGTGCTGCACAAACGAATTCACAGTTGCAAAAAATGGTGCTTGGTTTGGAGAGCCCCCAGATCCAGGGCTGGATGGATACAGTAAAACATGTGTACGCAAAGCTTGCGTTAATCGATAGAGGTAGTGATTAAGGCAGATACAATCGTGATTAAATACCAAGCCCTTGCTAAGCTACCGATCTCGTCTTTAAGGCCTTCGCCAACCCCCATCCGCCTGCGTTGATCAATTCGCATAGAGCATGGATGACCCCCGGTAATTCCCTTTTTCTCTAGGAGGGCCTGCACAAACTTTAGAAATAAGGTGATATCCCCAACAGCATGCGGTGCTCTTTTTGGTGCTCGCACCACCCCGCAGCCCTCGCAGAACCTCGTGGAACCCTGGTGGAACCCTCGTGGAACCTTACCTCGGGGCCGCCCCGGACCACCCCGAAGCCTATCTGGACTGAGACCCCAATTTTTTCAGCTGTTGGGGAATAAATCAATCCTTTTGCCAACCCAAAGGCATGAGCACTGCTCACGGGCTCCGAGGTGAACACCATGAGCGCCGGCTACGTGAAGCGACGAGAGAGGAGCGGCCGGTTCGCGGAGCTGCGAATCGCCATTGTCTGCCGATTGTGTTGGAGGCCCAAAGATGGCACAGAATGATACCTTGTTCGATGCGGCTTGAGGTCTCAAGGCGCCATGTTAAGTTTGGGAAAGGTGGCGTCCCTATATATATATATATGTATGTATATGTATATATATGTACATATATCCATATTTCCACGTTTGGCTGACATAGACTGAGCTTCTTCGGGCACAAAGGGCAGCGAGGATGCCGGAGCTCATGGCCAACGCCTTCGAGAAGCTGGGCTTCGAGCGGGCCGGGGGCAAGCGGAAGCCAGCGGTCGGCGGTCGGTTTTCAGTGCCCCAAAAGAGACACAGGGGCGGTTCCAAGATTTGGGGGTCCCCTACCTTTTGGCTTCCTTTTGGGGGTTCCAAGATTTGGTGGTTCCAAGATTTGGGGGTTTTGTAGGGAAGGTTTCTTGGTTTCTTTGGGCTTCATTTGGGCTTCCCGTAAACAAACCGCAGGGGGTCTAAAAGTTTGAGAAACCTCCACGAGTCAGCAGCCCAGTCAGGAGCTCATCGTGCATCCCCAAGCTTTTAAGGTGACGTGCAACTCATTTTGGGGAATGGCATCTCTTTTCCCTTTCAGTTGCTACTGTGGATGGACCAAATCCTGCACCTCCTAAGAAACCCTGGAATAATGATTCCCCTGAAAATAGCAACAAACCATGGTTTCCCACAATTTCAATGTGGTGCAGGATTTCGTCCATCCACAGTATGGTGAAAGGGAAGAAGCCAGGCGATGTTCCTCTTCCGGAAGTACGACCAGGGCCGCTGCCTAAACGTGGGCCAGCGTAGGTGTGTGCCCTTCCCAGTTGACTCCCTACAGCACGGAAACCGGATAAAGGTACGACTTCCCTGTGGTTGGTTTCATGGTGGTCTCTCAGATAGACCCCCTCACTTCACTTGTTTGGAATGTTTATTCGGGAGTGGAACAAAACGTGAGCCAACCAGTTGCTAGTTTAAGCGCCCACACCCGCGACAAAGAGGCGCGTCGAAAAAAAAGCGCCACAGTACAACTCTGCCACTGGGACTCCAGCGGTGCTCCGTCAATTCACGGGAAAAATGCGTCAGAGACGTGAATGACAGACCTGTTGTCTTGGCAGACTTCCAGGACGCCAGGCAAAGCCGCAAGTGTTGAGGGCTCACCCCTCGAGCTGCAAAGCGGGTCGCCTTTTGAGCCAACGCTGCCGGAGCTTGAGTTGTTCTGTCAATGTGACGATGTAGCAAACCAGGTCGCATGGAAGACTACGATGAGTTGCTGGAGAAGGTGCATGCCCACTTGTCTCGGCTGAAGTTTCGATACTCACAAGCTGCCAATTGGTTGAATCAATACTTTGAAAGCCTGGAAGGCGGTGAATACAAGAAAGCAAAGCATGGAAGACCGCAAGGATGCAGAAGGATCTTTGTCTCTAGGGAAGCCACCAGGGGCGTTGGACTGCATAACAGATTCGAGCGCATGCCACAATATGGTAAGAAGCAAGCAGAACCCTAAGTGCGACCCCCCATTCAGGCAACGAAGCCTGGATTGAGCAACAATCCGCACTCTTCAACATCATGGTCATCATCATCATCATCATCATCATCATCATCATCATCATCATCATCATCATCATCATCATCATCATCATCATGTTTTGATTGGTCACTCATCATTTGGGGTATGCTCACAAAAGTACTGCGAGGTTTGCGAGGGGATTCCGGTAACCCTAGATCCAGGTTGGAGGCAGGAGGCAAATATTGAGTGGCTGGCCTGTGGCTCACAATCTGGAGGCAATGAGCCACTTGCCCTGGTTTGTCTCCTTGCATTGGGCTGACTGCTGACTGCCTGCCCCTGTCGGCTTGGGAAAGTCTTTACTCTTGGGATACGGTTTGTCCGGGTATATTGCGTAGTCGCTTTATTCTCCAAAGGTGAGTTTGATGAGTTCGCTACGGAGAGGGCATGCCAAACCAAATTTCTCCATAAAGATCACCCAACTTTTGATTTGTCCTTGGAATAGACGACTGTGGCCAATCCACCGTCCATTCCGCGCATCGCGCGCCAGACCGTGCCACCCTGGCACGTGGGCCACGACAGCTGTGGACCTCCCACATCACCACCAGTGCCCTTCGCGCAGCTGCTTCTGGCTGGGGACCACAGGTGGGTCATGATTGCTTCATGTTGAGCCTGAATTTTTTAACTTTACACTCTAGCTTTTCGGGAAATCAAGGGGTTGTCCACTAAACCTCAAAAAGTTAAACTTTTTGCAGGGGGGTCAACAGTAACCAAGGGTTGGGTAGGATTTGAGCGGTCAAGGCAAACTAGGTTTCCCAGCTAGGTGCCCTTTCTCACCCGTTTCTTTTTTGGGGGAGGGTTCCCCTATTAAAATAGACGACAGAAAAAAGGGTACCCTTATTCTAACCTCTCTTCCGGAGGACCTAGTTTTAATAGGGGTTCCTGCACAAGTGATGATTCCCCACTGGTTGATGACCGGGGTTTACATTTCTCTTCACACCTGTATCTGGAGCGTTTTGAATCATGCTCAGCAGGCTGACCATGGGAGACCAAGGACGTATGAGCAGACGAAGAAGCTTTCCCAACGGGCTTCGTTCCTACACATGGCCGCCACACGACGTGACAAAACGGCTTGGCATCAGCAGAGCTATTCCTCCGCACGAGAGAGCGAGAGGGAGAGCGCAAGGTCTTGCTTTCCAGCGCAGACGAACGCGGCCGGGCGTTCCGAAGCGTGCTACGGCGCCAGCCTCGGTGATTTGCTTCAAATGCCAAGTGCGCAAGTGTGTCTCCTCACCAAACGGGCTATACCAAGAAGCCGTTTGTCATTGGTCTCCGGTGTATTCGGACATGGAAGCTGGACGCCTTGCGCCAGCATGAGAGAACAGCAAGGGCGAACCAACCAGTTCCTGCATGTCTACCTGAAAATCCGAAAGTAGAGGCAATGCCCAAATTCAGCTTTCAGATTGAGGCAGATCCGTCTGAAGATGAAAGGGCTAGTACTTGGCTGGCTCCCTCTAATTAGTGCCCACTTGGTTTCCTTTTCGAACCCGCCCCAAAACAGGTGCCTGATTGTTTGATCGAAGACCAGCCCCTCTAATATATTTCCCTGGCTTGTAATCATGATTGAAAGTAGCACCGGTCGAAGTTGGGATTTCTTAGCTCCAGTTGGGATGCGTGAAAAGTTTGTCCCCAAGCAGCGCAGCTCAAGAACCAAAGGCTCCGCAGATTTCGGCACGGAGAACACTGAGCGTGCGGCTCGCAAGAGATTGGCACCATACCAAATACTGCGCAAGACGGCGTCAGAGCATTCTTATCGCCTGGCTGGTTTACTTGTCATGCTCTTGCCTATCAACTGTGGTTTGTTTCTCATATGGGACCACACCTTGCATTTGGGGTTTTATTATATGAAATCAAGAACAACTCGCGCACACACACACACACACAACACACAACACGCACACACACACACACATTTTGGTCAGCTAAGAGAATCGAGTCAGTCAGCTGCCCCTCTCAGAGCCCACCGAGGGACCACAGCCATGGCACTGATTGCGTTGCGCAGGTGCAGCAGCAACTCTGACCCAAACTTAGCTCTTCCTGGGAGTTTAAACGGCATGTGCTTGACTCGTTTGTTAATTTGTGTTTGGTTTGGTGTGTTGTTTTGTTCGGTTCCGTTCGTAAAGTGGTTTTGAAAAGCGCCAAGTGGAAGCCAGGTTGCTTTTTCTTTCCGAAAGGGCATGGATCACTCAGGTGGCTATGAATGTCAGTCAATAGGGAAACCCTCAAAGATGGTTTTATACATCCCCTTGTAAGTGATGTCTACGAAAGGGTCCGACCACTCGTATGTCCTGTAAATTAGGTCAGTTTGGTTTCAATTGGTGGTTTGGATTTGAACCCCTAGTTCTTGTAGAGGGCAAATGAGAAACCACCCCTTTACCACCAAACCACCAATCCAAACCACCCCTTTTGAGGGAAGCTGATCTCTCGAGGTAAGGCTGGCGAGATGCTCGGAGAAGTTGTGGGCTTTGGCAGCAAGGGTTGGCCTTTGGTGCGGCTGCGTGTTGGCGGCGTGGTGTTGGCGCGGCCCTTGGACGACGCTTTGGTCCTCCGACAGCGCCTGGCGTTTGTTTGTTTTCGTTCTCGTTTCGTATGTGGGTGTTTCTCAAAATTCAGCACACCTCCAGGTAGTTTGTTTCCATTTCCTTTCAAAGTCCCTTTGAAACCAACCAAAAGGGGAAACCCTAGTCTGAGACAATCGCACGTGAGACCTCACGTGTTTCTGTCTCGAAGAAGTTTTCAGTGTCCAGTCCCCAGGTCATGCGGGGCCAGTCCCTTGAGCTGGAGAATGAAGCGGATGGGCACCGCGTGGTGGCGATGTCGTCGGGGAAGTTGGAAGAAAAGCGCTGTATCCACCCGCACCGCGCCGCCGGCTTCTGCCTCAGCTGCCCACGACGTGAAAAGGGGGCCCGGAGCCGGAGCCCGCGAAAAAGGAAGGCCTAGCGTCGGTTTTTTGGCCGGAAGGCGAAGTCGTTTTCCCTGGCCGGAAGGCGAATCCATGTCTTTTTCGTCCTCACGGAAAGTATTCGTGGACCGGATAGCAAGGATTATGTGAGCACTCTGTCCAAAGTGGCAGATATGATCTCTGGAAAAGCATGTGTCCGTGCTGCTAAAACCGCGCGTGGTGGAAATCCAGACAAGGTTATGATTCGTAGGACCGCCATGGTACCTGTTAGTCTTCCAATAAAACAACAACCGAGACCCATGCCATACACAACAACTCCAACCGGTGCAAAAAGCCTCAAAGCTGTACAGAAATAACAAGCTGAAAAGCTAACCGGTTCTGTCACAATCAGCCCAGCCTCATCCTGCCCTGTCCGAACCCGTGAGAAGGAGCAATTCAAATTGTGTGGGCCCTTTTGAAGTTGCCTTCCTGTTCCTGGGATGAAAACTCAGTGCCGGGTGAGGTCTAACACCCTCACATTGCTTGGGGTTGCTAAATGACAAACTGCCATTGGTGCAAAACGAGATTTAGACATCCCTTCAAATAGACAAGGTCTCTCCACAATCCTCCCATTGTGGTTCATGTGGGTGTGTGGGTGTTTTTTGAGGGTACCTTTTTTGGAAACCAAAACGAAACCCTTTTGTTGTAGTCCAGAAAAAGACACCCATATACATATACCATGTTTAAAGATCCACAGGAGCCCCTGAAACTAACATCGCTGAGGACTGTCGGCTGGCAAAAGCAGTTCCAAGAGCTCGCGGGAGCCATGACCTTAAGCAAGCCGATGCTCTGTTCGCTGGGACGGAATCAATTAACTGCTTGATGAAAATCCGCGTGTTTCCGCTTGAGGAGATTCATCACTTTTGGGGTGAAGTCCCTATTAATCATATTTACCTAGGTTGATGAATTCGATTTTGACATCTATTGGCACAGCACGTCTGGATCTGGTGTCATTTCTTGCACAGCCCGTTGGTTGAAGCAGGTGTTGTTTGTGGAACAAGTCTTTGAAATCAGCTGTAGACTTTCACTTGCCATAGGCTGGTGCCCTCAGATGGGTTTTCGCGGTGCACCCCCGTGCAGACGAGGCTGGTCGATGTCGGTTCCCTGCGGGTTGGACCCGTATCTTTGGTGAAGGCATCTCTGAAGAACATGGGGATAAAGGTTGAGTTGGTAAACGCCTGAGGGTCTTTCGAGTGTGTGGTGAACGGGAACCAACCTGGGGTCCAGGATCAGAAAGTATCTTCTCTCTCTGAGCAGCTGACGATGCGAGAAGGTAGTGTTTTCGCACGTGGAGAAATGCTCTTCTGTTGGGAACGAGGGCTATCCCGCTATGATTCCATGTAACGGGGTTAGACGCCAAAGGATCACAAAAGCGATCCCTTAGCCTTTTGAAACTTCTTTGTTTGCATCAAGTCAAGCAACATCGGGGACTTCAGCCCTAATCATCATGCGGCTGCGGATCTTCATAGGAGAGACATGAAGTCTGACTGCGGACAGTCCCTCCTGTGCAATTGGGGATAGTAACATGTCCAACCCAACTTTGTGCAAGCCCGGCCTTGACCATCCCTTGTGTTTTGGGGTATTGCTTACGGCGTTTGTTTGCCTTAAACTATGCCGTATTGTTTCTAGCCGCGGCCGACAAGCTGGCTAGCAGCAGGTTGAATCCTGATGTTTGCTACAGAGGTTGCTTCCCCACTGGGGAAGGGGTCCTTGGGTGAAGTGGCCCATGCTATACGAGCAGCACCCAAAAGCCCCCATTGGCTATGTTGGTGGGTGGTTTTACTGCCTGGCTTCATATGGCTTGTGGTGTATGGTATATGGCCTATGTAAATCTTTGTAACCACCTTAGAACCAAAGTCAGCTCGGGTGTTGGGCGCTGATCCCTTGGTCATGCTGAGTCCAAGGGACGAGAGTTGATGCGAAGGTGCTGGCTTGATGCCTTTGGCAGCAAAGCGGACCCTTGCGGTCAAGGAAATAGCATGAATCCTTGGACAACCACTATGATCCGCTTTGCAAACATTCCACAGGTCCAGCGTCCCCGGGTGCGCCTATATCTAATTAGGAACATGACTCGAAACAAATCCCAGATTCCCCTTACAACCGAAGGTATGGTGGTGGCGTATTCCGAAATGGGGCTGTTTGATGTGCGCTTCGAGAAAATCCTCATGGACAGAACTGATGGCGCCAGGCGAAGCTTTTCATCGAGCTGGAGCAGGAGCACAAGGAGCATCAGGACCCACCCGGTTGTTGAGCACCCAAGACGAAGAGACATGTGTCAGTGATCCTCGCCAAGCTACATGCATCCAACCTCCAACCAGTTGTTCTTAGCCTTTGCATGTTTCACTATTGCAACGTGAAATGCTGGGGGCCTTATCCACTCGTGGATCTTCACTGAAAGAGTCTCAGCACCAAGAGAGGGCATCGAAACTGTTGCCTCAAAACCACGAGAGGGGGATGTAGTTCCTCGAGTGGCACGGAGTGCTGTGGCACGTGGCTGCATATTGAGAACCGCTCTGAAGCCTTGCTTTCAGATTGGCTTCCTTTATTTCTCAAAGTGTCCTTGCTGTTGATGGAACTCATATAGATTGCCACTGGAATCTATACTCGTTGCACCCAGGTCACAACCATTGGGCGTGGTATGGATGTGGTTTGCCATCGACAATCCTTTGTCCATTCGCAGTGGCATGCGCCCTGTCAGGTTTTTCACGTGTTCCCGAGGTTGGCTGCAGTCTCGTGAGTCACCAGGTGACTCTGGAAATGTGCGCCTCACGGGGTCCTAGGGCAAGACTTCCTGGGCCACGGGATTGGATTTAGCGCATCCGACAAAGCGATGCAACCTCTTTGCCCGGAAAGCCCTCCCCATTAAATTGGAGCCTTACAGAAGTCTCCCTGAAGAATGGAAAAAACTATCTTCCTGGGGGCCTTTGTCAGGGTCTGGTAGATGACAAGATAACACCAGAGGCCGTAATGAGCAAGCCGCAATGAGCAAGGCTAGATGAAGTCCTCTGCACAGCAGACCCTAGCTGTGGAAACTAGCTTGCTAGCTGCTAACCACCCCGAACGGGAGGCGATTTTTTTCACGTTGCTTCGCTAGCTGTCACCAGGACCTGCTGATCCTGCCGCCTGCCGATAGGACGGTGTGGCACTGCTTGTCCAATTCAACACAGGTGTTGTCAAAATGGTTCCCAGGACCTCAGGAGAGCCACCATGTTGTGAAGTGCACTGCCCTGCTTGATGTTGAACGGCTGAAGGAGCTATGAGAGTTTGGGTGCAATCTTGAGTCCCTTCTATTGCCAGGCATTGGAACCAAACTGGCAGAATGCGTTGAAGGGTCCATTTCTCCAAGTACCCGTGGCTTTTGTATTTGAACATTCTAAGTGCTTCGAACCTTTCTGGTCTTTGCGTTGTTGGTTGATGTTGCATAGAAATCGGGCAACCGAGGGTCATTATTTGCTGTTCGTGCAATTGGAGAATAATAGCATCATTTTTTGCTATGACCACATTATCTGCAGGACTGATTGTTGTCTTTGCGACATGTCAAAGACAACCTATGGCGAGGCCCTTCCCCCAATTTGTGTGTATCGAGCATGAATCGCTGTGGAAGCGGGAATATGCGCGTTGTACCGTTGTTTAGCAGCACTGCAAAATCCTACAAGGATCAGGCTGATCTCCTCAGCAGTACAAGCACCAACCTGCATGCCAGCCTTAGCGAACCTTGATGCCAATTTGGAATGGCAATCTTGGAGGTTTTAATATTATTACTGCTGTTCACCAGTAGCAAACTCAATTCTTGAACGGTCTAAGCCCAGTTGCGGCCGGCCAGGACGTCAACATCAGCGGAAGCCACCACTGACCAGATGATTCAGGCACAACCGCTCACACCTGGTGGTTTGATGGAAGCTTCCGCCATGTTCGCAAAAAGCCGGCTTTAAAACACTTGAAGACGAAATTGCGGAAAGAGAGCGGGAGACAGGAGAGGAGGGAGGGAGGGAGGGGAGAGAAACAGAGTGAGCGAGAGACAAGGAGCGGTTTTGCAGTCGCCCCACTTACTGTGAAAGATGGACAGAGACGATAGGCTGAGTTCGCAGCCTTGATGTTTGCGTGCCGTGTTTGCGTGCTTGCTTGCTTGTTTGCTTGTTTGTGTGTGTAGTCGAGTTGGGGGTTTGTTTCGTGCAGTTGTTTTTGTTGAGTCCTGGCTGGAACACTTGCAGGTATTGGCCCTCCTGCGGGACTTCCAATTCAGGTGGCTGGTGGTTGCTCGGTCTGGCGCTCAAGGACTGCGCAATTGTGCTTCAGCCATGCCTTGCTATATTGAAACGCACCACTTGTTTGACCCACTCATTTCCGGCATTTGATCTACCGGCTTCGGGCAGAGTGCCCGAAGCAAAGGTTGTCTCACGCTCGTCAGAGATGATAGCGGAAGTCGTCGACCGAATGTTCAGTGTAAATTTGCTTGTTTTGCTGTCGCATTACCCACTTCCCGGTGTGGTTGGCTCGCGGGTTGCAGCTCTCCAGGATGGTGTCCACTCCCCAAGCCACTCCCAGGGAAAACAGGGTATATGCCCTTTCTTTTGTGGAAACCATCAAATCCTGGTTTGGGGGAAGTGGAAACACTCTTAGCTGAGGTCGTATGGCTGTGTTTTGGCTCCATTGTTTTTTTAAGAGAACATGTTTTTTTCAACAACCTTCCGCGGGGGATTAAGTGTGATCCAAAAACAGCACAAACGACAAGGACGAACCCCTCAGTCGGACGACCTGCCCTTCCAGGTCGGTCAGTCGGAATTTGGGGTAGGTGCACCACCCATTTTAGTCTATTTTAGTGGAGATTGGGATGTTCGCAGGGTATGGGATTTTGACCCGTGGCCACATGGGCTTGTTGCCTAGGCAAGATGTCTTCGTGCGCGCTGGGCGTTTCCTGGATGAGCTACAGGGCCTAGAGCCGCCGGGCGGCAAGGCGCGGGTGCCTTGCCAGTGGGGCGTGCCGCGTGGAAATCAGCAGCGCCTTAGGTTTTCCGAGGCCTGTAACATGTTGATCACCCTGATATATATATATATATATATATATGTGGCTGTGGGTAAAAAATAGGTGCCCAAAATGGAAGTCCGGCAAATGGAACCCAGGACTAAAACCTGCGGTTTCCTGGTGGTTTAATTTCCATATACACATATATATATATATATATATATTGAGTTCTTGTTGTTTACTGTTTGTCCACTTGTGTGGTTACGTTTTATTCATGTATGCTCACTTGTTATCCAGCAGGAGAGCGCATCCTGCACCACACCACCCTCAAACAGCTTCGACAAGGCCTCCAGAAAGCCTAATTGGTCAAGTCTCTCATTTTGCAGACCATGTCCATTCCCTGCTACATGCGCATTACTAATTGTTCAAACAAACACCTGAAAACGTGAGCATCACCTGGTGATCTTTATGGACGTACCACCCACATTCCCACACATATCTTTGCAGTACGTGGACGTCCCCACATTCCCACCATCAGATATCTTGAACAACGTCGGAACCCCCGTTTGGCCAGGTCCTAGGCTCCTGGAGTCGCTTGCCAGGCGGCTGGAGGCACTGTGGAAACCAAAAGGAAACCGCCCAGTTTGGGGGCTGGCCCTATTTTGACACACCTGTATGGGAAGGTGTAGGTGTGTGTGTTTTTCTTGTGGGGAGTAGAAGCAGATGTCACGGTGTATAAGTGTATGCGTATATGAGGTATACTACAACGTGTGTGTCAAGCCCCTCACAGAACAGGCTATTGGTTAAGGGCCACCGAGCCGAGAGCAATTTGCCTCGCTGGAGAGTCCGGAAAGCTTTCCGGCCGAGTTCAACGAAACATCGGGGCCAAGATTACAGCCTTTGGGAACCTAAGTCTTGCTTTACAAAAGCTTCCAGGCATGGCACTATTAGCAAAGGGCTAAACCGCGCCGCGGATCTGAGCACTCGGATGATCTTTGCATTTCAAACATAAGTTGGGCCACGGAAAGGTTGCCAATTGCCCGGGCGAGAGTGCTGCAAACGTTCTGTGTGCGTAGGAGTCCTATTGCAGTGCACCTGAGGCTATTTCCGGGCCGTATACCCATGTCAGCTTCCGCGAAACGGGGATTGCTGATTGTTCTGAATCTGGCAGGTTGGATCCTCACTTCTTCGTTCTACCCCGGGACGTCTTTGTTTTGCTTTCGGCCACTTGGCAGGAGGGAGGAGAGAGAGCGAGAGAGGGAGGTTTCGTGAAGCAAGGTATGCCACGTAAAATCTTAACGCAGATTGTTTGAGCGTACCCGAAACGAGACGGAGGCCATGTCCCAGCGAAACTCAGGCGCCTGAGTTGATCTCGCGCCTGGCGGTGCAAGGCTTCAACCAGGCGGAGCTGGGTAAATCGAAGCGATTGGTTGTGGTTTTTCTCGTGGACTTGGATTGGTGGACTTGGATGGATTTGAACCCTTGTTTTGGGCAGAGGGTAAATGGGAATCCATCCCTTAACCACCAAACCACCAATCCAAACCACCAGAGATGGGAACCCACTAGCTGGTATATAAGAAGTCCAGGGCACCCGGATCCAAGAAGGAAGCAGTCGAATGGCTTTAGGGGCGCCAAGCGTAGAGTCGGAGGGTCTGCACTCGTAGAGTCGGAGTCGGTGAAGCTCCTTTCTTGGGCTTGAAGGAAGCCGGAAGCGTTTCATTTGGAAGGATTCCCGAATTTCGACGACGATTTGTTGGATGACGTCACCCAAGTGTTATGGCAGGGAACTGACTGTGATTTTGTTGTGAGGACAAGCCATGCAGAAGTTTGATAGTAGTAGTTGCAGTCTGACTTAAGATGAAAGGAAATATATTTTATGAAGAGATCCAGCTTGAGAACTTGCCTGCCATGGAATTCCTCTACCTTTCCTTTCCTCTTATTAGGCCAACAATTGAACCATGGAGCAGCCTGGAGAGAAGGCTGGCTCCTGACTCCACTGTGTTATCTGCCGGCCCCTGGAGGCCTTCGGCGATTTGTCCAACCTGGATGCTGGTGTGGCGACCAAGGTGTAAGTAAGACTTGGGGGTTGATCAATATTCCTGGCCCCCAAATGATCACGGGTAACTGTTCACATTTGATGGTAATCCATGTAACTGAGATCAACCTCCACTTTTTGCCAGCTGGTGTTTGCCTCACTGGCCACCCTTCAATACACTGCCGAGAACAAAGAGGCATCCACGGATTTCGCATCGACCAACCAGTTCTGATTGCATTTTGGCCGGGGGAAGCCGCATTTGCGAAGAAAGCCCAGGGTTCTCCTGGTGTTCATGCCAGCCTCTGTAGGGCTATGATCATTTTGGTACATCCATTCTTCAAAAATGCAAGGCGGCCAGGTTATTTCTGTATGTTTCTTGGCTTACTTGCGATGCTGGGAGACTTGACTACAAAATCACCGATATGCTTGTACCGCCAAAGGGGTATCACGCACCTCTCTTAACTCCTAGATCTGCCTTGTTGTAGGGCTGCCTTCCCATCGGCATCTGACCTGAGGGAAGCTGCAACCAAAGTGCTTTGCACCCATTCTCCCCCAGCCCACTCCCTTGTTTGCAAGTGGGGTTGTCCATGGGCGTGCAAGGTGTCAGCACCTGGATGCATGCCTTCGCCGTGGAGCGTTTGCAGATGCCGCTGGGATGAATTCCAGTAAAGGACCCTCTTGTTCCGTTTAGGTTCGCCATGTCAGAGATCCTGATGGAGGTGTGGGTGTTGCCTGCCCTAGAGATCAAAAGGTTGCCCTGTGAAGCCAATGTCTGAGTGTTGAGCCAAAAGAAAGCCCTGGCCGAGATGAAAGGTTGCCCTGTGACGGGACAGTAAACCATAATCAACCTGAGTAGCCATTTGGATCTTGCAGGAGGAATATGATTCTAGTGTTTCCAGAAAGAGGGGACCACGGCAAGAGTGCACTTGTGTGTTTCTGCCTTGGAATCCACCAGCAGAGGGAAAATTCCGCCGGGCTGCTGCATTGCAGCAACTCTCAGGCGAGCATCGCAGAGGGGGCAAGCGCTGGCCGGGCCTCCAAAACACAAAGCCCTGTGCGGAAGATGGTACAGGGTGCGCAGTTGGGGGTGTTGATTTTCCCCCATGGTTGTGAAGAATCGTTAACTCAGTTTCTGGCCGGCCAACTTGGCATATCAGTACATGATGTTTGCAGGTTCTGCAGATGTGAGGTTTAGACATGCGCGAACGTCAGAGATTCTGCATGTTAGCATGTGCACTCATGCTGTCAGCCCTGTGGTTATGTTCATCTCGCATGTCCAAGGTCAAACTCGACTTTTGAGGGTTCCAATTTGATTGAAGCTGCTCAAATGGCAATCGGCTCAAATGTGCGTGGTCCACTCTCGCTTTGGATGTTGTCCTTTGGCAACGAGTCGCTGGTTAGAGTCATGGACGCCAGGCAACAGGAGACCACGGCTTCGTCTCAGCCGAGGCGTGCCCAGCTGACACGGTAACTCTGTACCCGATCAGCCCAGAGGAGCGCTGCGCTCAGATGGGAGCCGGGCATCCATCTCGGGCGTATCAACACCGAGCTTTTCGGGGGGAGGGGGGGGTTCCTGGACTTTAAGCTTCTTTGGAAGACCATTTCAACGGTACACAGCCAAACCGAAGGCCAATCCAAAAGCCCGATGGCATTGTGAAAATGTCCCTGATACCACGGCTTGCAGATGATGGATCTGCATTCCGTATGAAAAGTCCACAGTATGTTTGCAAATCCATGCCAAGTGCGAGTGAGTGGCACCGACCTTCGGCTGGCACTTACGACCGGATCCGATGGCATCCCAGATGTTCATCGTCAACCATCAATATCATCTATGTTGGATAGTCTTCGCGCTGCCAGATTGCCAGATGAATGCAAAATGCGACTTTCTTTGCCTCCTTGTGTTTTGTCCCCAGCTGAAAGCTATGGGGTCTCTGCCCAGGGGGGTGGTTTGGGCCAGCTTTCAGGGAAGGTTAAGGAGGCCGACAGGCATACCTGAGTTCATTGGTTCTTGTGAATTTGTTCATCAGCCTGAAAGGAGAACTGGGTGTCTTAAAATAGGGGGACCCGAATGGTGGGTCGGTCTCAGACCCTCGTGTCGCATCGAGGCTTGCGGCACTGGGTCGAAGCCCTGCAGCCTTCGGGCGCCGGCCTCAAAGGTTTTTTTGTTAATGTTGAAACGCATGTGGAAACATGAACTGTGTTTGGAATGCTTGACCATAATGGCATGTGCCATTTTGGCTCAAGCATCCAATCTGTGTGAAAAATTGTGCTTAGACACTTTTGAACCTAACCCTGATCAAGCAATGGCTTCCTCGGCAACCTCGGCCACTTCCTTCGAGCTGATTGAGGACCAGTCACTCACCGCAGAGGAGGTTGAAATGGCAAGCCAGGAGGCGCAGGAAATTCGCACTCGCGAGGCGGCAGTGGCGGCCGGCTTGGTGTTGGACGAGCCCGCGGCCCCCCCGTCGGCTTCGGCTACCGATGTGATGAAGGACCTCTCCAGTGCACTGGAGCGTCTCCGTGTGGCTTTTGCCACACCGACTTCCGGCTTGGGTGCCTCTGGCCCCGCCGAGGAGGATGACAAGGACATGGAAGACGCGGACGTCAAGGAGCAGGCACAGACGCCACCAACGAAGAGGCTGAAGGGTTTCGTTGCGGCCTCCCAGAAGACCACGGCTCAGGTTAGCAAACCGGTCTCCTTGGTGCCGGTTGAGGGTCGGCCTGGCTATTTCAAGCTGGTGGACCTCCCAGACCTCTTCCCAGTCCTTCCGGCATCAGCGGCCACTTTGCTAAGGGACGTCACGGTGGAGGAGGCGGTCTCCTTGTTCCACAAGTTTGTCGGGAAGAACCTCACGGAGGACCTGGTGATTCGCATCCTGGAGGCTTATGTTCCGATGAAGATCCAGATCCGGCAGGAGGAGGTCTGGGCCTCTCAGTTCCAGAGGAACAAGGCGTGCATTGGCACCCAGCGAATGCACAGGCTTGATGCAGGCCATTCCGATTACCAGTTCATGTGCAAGGCATGCGGTGCCGGGCTCGACCTCGGACAAGTGGATGGGCAACATCCTCCAGATGAGGAAGGAGGCGGTGCCCTTCCTGGAGAGCCTGGGCATCCCCAAGCCGCGCAGCAAGGAGGAATGGAGCTACATCTTCAAGGAGATGGGGACATTTTTGGCGGCCAAGAACTTCATCGTCAACTGCCCGTTGCCCGTGATGGAGATCCCAGTGGCCCCCGTCCACGACAGTAAGGAGGCGCTGCGTTTCAGGGCGGTGTGCGACGAGCGGATCACCCTCCCGCTGGCATCGCTGAAGGCCTTCGACTCGGTCTACACCAAGTTGGTGGCGGGCCTGAGCAAGTCTTCGATGGTGGAGGTGAAGGTCAACTGGCGCTGCAACGTGGTCCACGACTGGGTCGAGCAGGTCCCGCAGGAGGCGGCGGGGGCCTTGTACGACAGGTTGGGCTACTCCCAGGACCTCATCCGGCAGCTGGGTTGCTCCCCCCCCTTGGGTGCCTCTGGCCCCGGGGGAGGAGCGGCCAAGGAGGCGGACCCCAAGGCCAAGGTCTTGGGGGGAGCGGACACCACGCTCCGCACACCAGACCAGGGCACCAGGCGATACCCGCCCATCACCACGTCCACGGTCACGGCGGTCGCGGGCCGGAAGTACATCAACAAGCACTTCCCCAAGGAGACAAAGCACGTGTTTTGGGCCTCCGTGGAGTGTGGCTTGGTCTTGCCCAGCATCAGTGCCTGGGAAGTGGTGAGCAAGGAGAAGTTCAAGACCACCGGGGGCTATATGTGCAGATTTTGCAAGGGCTGCTGGAAGGCGAGCCGCGGGGGGACCAGGCTGCTCCAGATCACGGGGTGGCACAAAGACAAGGCCACATGCTTGCAGCTGTTGATGGACGAGCCCCCGGAGCAGCTGTACAACCAGTGGATCCGTGACCGGATGGAGTTCTACAAGAGGGTGGAGCCAACGGAGCCTCCCAATCTGGTCCTGGGAGACGCGAGCACCCCCCGCATGCGCTTCAGCTCCTCGAATGGCCTGGGGGATGTCTCCACTGCTTTGTGGTCGGTCATCCTGAGCAATCCGGAGAGGCAATCCACTCGGTGGCAAAGGAGGCGATCCTGAAGGGAGAGAGCCGCTAGGTTTGTCTCACAGCCCTTTCGGATGGGGGAGTCGTGTGATCCCTTCCCGCCGGGACTTGGGTGCCTTTGGCCCCGTCTCCGGCGGGGGGAGGGGTAAAGGGTTTTCCTTTTGGGTTCTTCCTTCACCATTGTTTCCCCCCCTGTTCAACACGTCGCGACAACCTGTTCGCCTCGACCAGAAGGTCACATGCATTGGCCCCAAGGACGGGCCATACCAGCCACGGTCGGAAAAGGTGGCTGCGGCTGACTCTTGGTTTCCTTGAGGTCCCCTTGGGGTTTTTAGGGAATCCCCCTCCTTGGTTGGTCTTCCCCCCTCCGTGCTTTTAGGGACTTCTGGGGGTTGACCTTGGTCCTGTCGGGATGCGTGTGGCCTGCATGCCCCATCTGCACTCGGCATGCTGCGCGTTTAGAGCACGCATGCATTCTGCCGCGGTTGGGCAATAGGAGGCTCGAACCCCCCCTTTTTCATCATGGCTAGGGTTTCTACCAAGTTTCTTTTGCGCCCGCCTTACACACGTCTTTGGGACCGCATTCCGGATTCCGAGGGTCCTATGGGACACATTGGCGGATGAGTCCTTCTCCCCGAGACAGACGGACGGGGAGCTGTTGGTCCTGATGTGCCTGCGCCATGGCACGGAGGAGGAGGGGAGGAAGCTGGGTGGGGAGCCGGCAATCCGCTTGGAACTCTCGGGCATTCCGGTAGGACAAGACGACCAAGTGGTCCCGACGGACTACTTCAACGGCCTGGTGGCGTCGGCGGCGGGCAGGCTTCCCCAGCCTCTGTCAGCGGCGGACCTGGCCGACCTGTGGGATAGCCTATGGTTCCTCCTCATGGCGACGGCGGACGGCAAGCCAAGTGAGAACTTTTCCCCGCTGGAGAATGAATGGGATCGCCAGGACCAACTGAACTGGCAATTGTTCATGTTTTTAAAGTTTTTTTTTTGCATTTTGCATTTTTCCAGTTTTTCGCGGGCATTTGTTGCTCGATTTATGTCGCTGAGGTTGACTTTAGAGAAGTTAATTGTTTGGGTTTCAAGTTGTTTTTCGGTGGGAAGGGGGGGGGCAGGACGGGACAATAATAATGCGCCTGTGTGCCCATTGTTGCGAAAGGCTTGATTCCTGCAGCATCGTTTTTCGCTGGCTGCTCGCCTTCGGAGAGTCGGAACGGAATTATCTTTTTTCATCTCGTTTGTTGTTTGAGGGCTCGGTGGCTTGCCCCGCCCCACCCCCCCTCCTCCCAAGCCCATCAATGATTGACGTTGTTGCGTTTGCTTGCGCGGGTTCGGTGGCTTGCCCCGCCCGGCCCCCTTAAACAAATCCTTTCGCTGGTTTTTTCCAGCAATAGGGTGCCCAGCTCCCCCTTCCTCCAAAGTGAAGCCCGCCAACGATTGAAGTTGTTGCATGTGCTTGTGCTTGCGGGTTCGGTGGCTTGCCCCGCCCGGCCCCTACGCCTTCTGCAAGCAAGAGGGAAGGCGTCTCAGGGCAAAAGAGTCTCACAGGAAAGCTGTGAGCTGACGAACGGACATGCGTGATGCGACGCAAGAGCCGCCCAAGTCGTATGTTTCTTGCGGATCATATTTTTCAAGCGGATAGATGTGTTTTTGCAGAGCAGATATGCTTGTTGCGGTGTGCGCTTGCGGGTTCGGTGGCTTGCCCCGCCCGGCGCCCACAATGACTTACGCTGGTTTCGGTGGCATGCCCCATCCAGCAGTAAGGATTCAGAAGGGGCGCTTCTGAAACCGCCCTTTTCCGGAAGCGTTCTCAGAAAGGCTTTCGTGTGTAAGCGGCGGCTCGTGGGAAAGCTGCGGGCGCGCGCATTGTTACTACCAGACTTTTAGTGGGGCCTGGCCCCACGCCAAATCTGGACTAGTGACCTTAAAGTTTTCCTGATTGTGCGGTTACACAGACTCAATGGCGACAGCTCAGAAGGCAGTTGTTTTCTATTGCTTCCAAGGTTTGGTCACTGCGGCCCGCTTGCAAAACCATCCGTGCTTGCCAAGTCAAGACGCGCTGTGTTCGCTTGGCGGCTCTTAGACAAGTTAGCAGGCGCGGCCGTGTTTTGGTGGCTTGCCCCATCACTGGCGTGAAAGCTGCAGCCATGTCGATTGCGCTCGTTGCTGGCGTCATCGTAGGTTTCTTCATGGGCGTGGTTGTGCCAATTGGCGGGAAGGGCCTCAAAGGCGGCAGCGCGGCGGGCAAGGGTCAGACTGACGAGCAAGGCAGCCGCAGCAGCGACGGCGTTGGCGGCTTACCTCAGCCTGGAAAATAGTCTTCACATGAATGTCGTGCGGCAGTACCTCTTCGGCCGCTTGTGGGCACACATGCAGAGCCCAAGCAGTCAGTATTACGCTGCAGAGCTGCGCGACGCTCTGCAGGCCAGTGCTTTGTTTTATGCACAGACGCAGTGTTTATTCTGCTGCTTTAATATTTCAAACCAGTCTGAAACCAAGTGGTCTCGCCGTGCCTGCCAACCACGACGCAGGCGGACAGCGGTGACAGCAACTTGACGAGGGGCAAGGCCGGAGGAAAAGCGCCGCCGGTGAGCAAAGCCAGGCTGGGCAGCTTGGCCCAGTGCCTCCTCCTGCCAAGAACGGGGGGGCAGGGCGGCCGAACAGTGGCTCGGCGCTGGTCGACCTGGTGGAGAACATGCTGAAAGCTGCGCCGCCTGCTCCAGGCGCCGGACCAGCCCCCAAGCAGGGCAGACGAGTCAAGGCTAAGGCTGCCGCGCCGCCGGCCACTGAAGACCCAGCCGAGGAAGAGGAGGACGACCCCACGGACAGGGAGCCCAACTGAGCCGCAACGCTGGGCTTTTGCGCGCTCTGCCGCGTAAGTTTGTGAGTTTGGCAACCATGATGTGGCTCAGGCGGCGTGCCCCGGCCCGCGTTGGTGGCTTGCCCCAGCACATTGGATTTGTGTCGGCGGCGTGCCCCCGCTGCTGCTGCAGAGAGATGTCAAACGCAGATCGAACGGTGCTTAAAACATGCGGCCAGCCA